GCCAAGGCTAAAATTTTAGAAAATTACCTTCAATGGTAGTAATTCTTGACAAATCCCCTCAAACGGTAGCATAAAAACCGAAAATATTTCCACGCTAGCATCCATTTCTTTGTGCTCTCCTGGTCCTTTTTTGACAAATCTCTTCATAATTGATTGTTGTTGTTTCGGGACGGTTGTTGCTGTAAGCTAAACTGAGCAGTTCAGTTATTATCGAAAATGGGCCATTTGGTATCCATTTGGTAAGACCCTCAAACGGACCATCCCCCCTCTCAGGCCTTAATGGGAGTACCTCCCCCCGGGGGACCAGATCTAGCATACTATCACGCTTTCAGAACCATTTTGCCCAAAAAATCACCCGTTAGCACACAATCTGGCATAACTTGAATCTAGCATAATTCTAGCATTAATCTAGAACAAGTGATCCGCTGTCTATCGTAACTGCATGGAAACACATTACACCCGAATGTGTGGCTATTATCATGTGAGCATATTTGTGACACCATCGTACCATAACATACCAGTACAAGGAAGCAAGGGTTATTAGTGACGTCTTTTCTAGAGGTAGTTGAATGGTTACTATCTAAGTTGGCAATGCATTATGGGCCATTTATATTCTACATATACCCATAATTGATAATTAATTGATTGCATTGGTTTTCTTAGCTGTTTATGTTTTCGTTTTTTATGATAAAGTTTAATTTCCTTTTTAAAATCACATTTTGGCCACTCTTTCTAATTTACGCATGCGCTAGCCTCTTTTTAAAACAGGATAGCCTGTATTTGAAATTTAGCATAATTTCTGTAATCTTGCATAATTTGATTTTGGTTTCAGTTCATAACTTTATGAACTAAGCCAAAATAGCAGTCATCCGTTAGCAAACTTCAAATCTTCTATCGGCCATAGCTCACCCGATTTTTACGAATTTAACTGGTTTTGCATAAATGGAAGTATTTTATGGTGTTCTTTCACGTTATGTGGTCAAAATTCGAAAATCCTTAAAAAAACCTTTTGTGACTTAACACTTGAGAACTCTATTATGCAAACTTATGATTGCGACACCATCTATTTCGTCTGGTTTTAATAAAATCATCCGAAACATTATGAAATGCCAGCTAATCTAAACTTTTTAACTTTTTAGGTTTCAAAATATAGTACTGAACTTTCTTAACTTTTAAAAAGCCGAGTACTGCTTTCTTATTAAAAAACGTGTACATACACGGTTAAGCATCTACAGTTGATTCACACGTTCGCTTCATCTCGCTTCGTCTCTTCCTCAGTGTTGAACATTGCTTCCATTTAAACAAATCCATGGTAATAAACCTCTTCAGGTTCACGCTGCGAAGGAGAACAGATAAAGCTTTCATTCAGTGGCTATGCGTTCTCCTGCCAATTTTGCGTTTAGAAGTACCTCATGGTCATGGAGACTTGCAAGCATTTCAACATCGTTAGCCTGGCTTTGGAGGTCAACCAGGGTCATAAAATTCAAATAGAAAGTATGTGAAGTTGATGAGGTGGTTAGTTAGGTCCTTCCCGTTTCATTATGGAGCTTTCTTCTTTTAGAAGCAGCCTGGATTTCATAATCCCGTGCATCTCCACCGAAATTAATAGTTTTTTGAAATTTCAAAGTGAATAGAGCTCTGTTTGTTTTACTCACCGATCTGAAAGCCCTTTAAAAGGACTCTCGCTCTTGCCACTGTTGAAAACAAAAGTACAGGGCATTGACAATGAACAGCTCTTAAAAACCCTTGAAAATATGTAGTGTCTTATAACAAGTAGGAATCATATTTATGTACTCTCCTTGGTTGTTGTAAAAGTGGACCTAAATGGCCAAGCAATCTCCTGGAGTAGACAGTGGCGGTTTTAAGGATGGTCAGGGGGCATGGCCCCAGGTCCCACGCTTATGATAGCCATAAGGGGCCCCACACCTAAAAAAAAGATGACAAGAGCCCCGCAGATGTTTTTGGCCCCGGGCCCCGCAGATGTTTTTGGCCCCGGGCCCCGCAGATGTTTTTGACCCCGGGCCCCGCTGTCCCCAAAACCGCCACTGGGAGTAGAAGAAGACAATAAAAGAAGATTTTTCATGTGATCCACCTTTCCCTTCTCTCCTATTTAAATGACACTATATCAAAGGAGGATACAGAACAACCCAGAAGCTTCAGTTCACTTCCTCCCAAAGGTAGTCAGCTTCTCACTGATCTCCTGCTTTGATAGTACTGATACGCTTTTTTTCATTACTGTCTTCCTCGTATGACACTTCTTGATGCAGGATGTTTGAAACTTAAAGCAAGGTTAGTTTTTCACCAAAATTTAACAGGAAAATAATTAGTAGCTATTTCATTGGAGTCCAAAAGGTTTTTCTAACAACCAGATAAATATAATATTTACATGAATGTAAATTTTCTAAGAAATATTGGAGGGTTTCGGTTACCTCGAATTTCTGTTAATAGTTTCTTGTTTGCAAATCACAGTTTCAGAACTCGACAGATAAGCTAAAAAAAAATTTATCTTGTTTACATTGCAGCATGTCTGCCATTTTTTAGAATGAGTGGGAAATGGTGGATAGGATTTTATTAAAGGTCTTTTGAAAACAAGTCTTTAATACCATGAAAATTGAAACGCGACCTCATGAGAAAAGACTACCAATCTTAGCGCCCATAAGATTCTCGATATACACTCTTTTTTATAAGAACCAGTAAATTTCAGTTCAGTCTGACTGTTCTTAATTTTTTTCGGAAATCTGAGGCTGGATTGTTCTTAATTTGTTCTTAATCTAATAGGGTGTAAGCAGTGCGAGTGCTAGCTTTTTCGCTCTAGGGAGGTGTTCAGGCCTCATTTGCCAACAAAGTGAGTAAGACAACCTTCATTTGCCGAAAAGTTTGAATATTCGACGAAAAAGCACCCACTCATCGCTAAAAATCCTCGATTTTGAGAAAAACATTGTTCAAAATTGCATTTTGCAGAAGCTCAGCCTCAGCTTGTTCTTAATTTGTTCTTAACTTTTGAACAGTTTTGAGGCTCGTGTTCTTATAAAATTGTTCTTATAAAAAAAGGTATATTATAAGTATTTGCAGTTTGCGAATAATATAGGAAACTTGCTAAGATTAAGTATAAAAAGACTGCTAATATTCAAAAGAATTTGAGAGTATAAACTGGGTTAAAAATTAGTTTGGATTTGAAATTTTCCGGCAGTTGGTTGACTTAAAATTACTGTTAAAAAAAACTATAACTTTCTTTCTCATTCCACAGAAATTAAAAAATAACAGAGTGTACTCTTTAAGCACCGTTTACAAAAATCGCACTTTTTCAGGGTAAAATATTATATTTAGATTTGTGAGACTCAACAAAATATAATGTGCTTTTTAAAAAGTTAGTATTACCGTTTGTCTGAAAAAAATCAATATAATCCCCTATAATTCTTTGTTGTAGGCAATGGACAGTTTTAAACAAACGAACGAGAAAAAAAACCCGATCTAAAGTTTTAGGGCACATAATCGAAAAAGGGCTGAAACGGCTTAACAGATTTTGTCAGGGAGGTACTTCTCCCTGACAAAATGCTACACATGCTACACCCCCCCCTCCCTTGTACAAAAGGGTATGCAATGTGTCTTTTTTGCAGAATTCGAACATAGCTGATAAAATATTAGCCAGTACTTAATAACCAAACAAACATTATATGACGAAAATCAAAACTGCTTATGAATTGTATATCTAATTTCAATTCCGATTAGCCGAACTTTCCATCGGATTCTTCCAAAAAAAGTTATTTTCAAACGTATTCCCCTCTGAAGAAAACAAGATGAAATGCAGAAAATGCAACTTTACAATAATAATCATGTTGTTATCATGAACGACTTGCCAAAAGTGTAATTGGTTGACCTCTTGTATCATCAATTGCCTTAGATGAGATATCGATCTTGATATCACAAATCTTGAATGGATTGTTCTTCTTGCTATTTAAATATGGCGTGGTCAGCAAAGATTTCTTAAGAGTCCCGCCCAAATCATCAAACTGTGTAATCTCCTTAAAACTAGACATTCCATGATGTTATCTTGTCGGAAAATCGTAGGCCTGAACCTCCCTCCCCCCGAATGAAAGCCTGACTTTACACCACTGACTTTGAGGGTTTAAGGACGCTCTATTTTTGTCTGAGCGGTCAATGAAATGAGGTCTCAATGGGTGCAGGATTCAGATGTAAGCGTGTCGCTTTGTTCAAGAATTCTGGAAGAACTTATTACTGGTTTTCTACTTCCGTTCAGAAGGGGTGGGGGGGGGGGGGTCGGAGCTGATAGCAAGGATCAAAGCAGAGGCAACTATTATCCTCTTGAGGATGTTAGCAATGATGATTACCTGTTTACATGATGATTAACAGGGTAACAGAGCTACAAGAGCCCTTTCAGTCAAGATTTAACTGTCTAAACTACTAAAATCTCTTATTTGCACAATCAAGAAATATTGTATACAAATCATGAAGAAATGTTGCAAAGTATCGTTTTGCTATCTTTGTCATTGGCCCTTCATATAAACAGGCAGTTCCTATGATAAGGTTCCTGTCTCGTCACTCGCTTCTATAAGACAAAATCTCAAAGACAGAGTCCTTGCAACTTAATTTCTTTAATTTCAAAATCACAGATGTTCACAACTTGTATGAACACTCTTGTCAGAACTTGGAAGACTTTGGATCTTGAATAATGGTTTGTTAGTTATCTTAAGTGCTGAGGTAGTGTACTGTTTGAAAGTGTGACGTCAAAACAAACTGTTTACTGATCGATACATGAACCATAACCTTTCTGGTGAATTCCAGTTGAATTTGCAAAAATAGATGCCATTGTGGTTTCTAGCGCGAACATATTTGCGGCCATGTAGACAGGCCTGCTTGCAAATAAAGGTTAGGAATTCTTACAAAAGTCTAGAAGTTGGTTAGATGTTATCTCCCATTAATACAGTCGTGGAATGAAAGCATGTTTGTATGTTCTAAATTTTTGATGTTTTCTTTTTTAGATACTTTGTTTGTGCTTTCTTGAAGCTTTGTAATGACGTTAAAGGAGATCTAAACATTGGTTAATCCGCCATTTCTAATGAAAGTTCATGGTTGCTATGGCAATGACTGGTCTTCAGGCTGAGCAAGAATCACTAGCTTCGCCACCCCCGGTAAATGATATTTTCTACGCTTCTATTATTTCTTTATCACTATCTTCATTTTGAGTAAAAAATTAATCGTGCGCAACAGCATCAAAAGTCAGAAACATAAGATTGAGAATTTCACGCGCAAAAGAAGTACTCACATCAACACAGGGGCGGGTGGATTGGTACGTCCACATCCTGACCTGAAACAGAGGCTAGCTTTACACGAGATTCCTAACTCGAGATTCCTGATTAGAATCTTCAGTAGTTTCTAGTGTGCCAATAACTTCAGCCGTAAGTCAATAAATTTCTGAGGGACAACTAATTCCAGATATCAAGAGAGATATTTCAACTGCAGGTTGACCAAATTCTGGTATTCTGTTTATAACTCCTGATCAGCTCGTCGAAAATAATCATTTGCACACAATATAGAAAGGATACTCTCGTTTCTTAACTTTTTTGCATATCTTAAGGGTCTGATTCTGATACGTGTGCACGAAAAGACAATTCTGATTTCTGTGGATTTCACTCGCGTGTCGAGTCAAAGGACTCTTTCACTACAAATACTCAAATAGCCTTTTCTGGTTGTGAAATCATTTCACTCAAAGGAATGAGTAGGTTCTGAAGTATTTTAAAATCTTCCAAAAAGCTGAATCCTTCAGAATTGTTTTTATATAAGCCATGATAGTTTGCGATTAGAACAAGTGAGGCATTCCATGTGGTCAGATCACGCCATATAAACTGCAACATGATACGGTGCTAGGCTGACAATCGCCCAAGCTTGCTTCGACAAATTTTATCGGGAAGAAATCTTTGTGGATTCTGGCTGGCTTAGCCGTGTCAAAGTGGATGATTTCTTGGCCCCTTGTAAATCAGTGACTTCTGATGACGGATTTACAAGCATAAAAACAGCTGTTCACGGCGTAAGTTTTAAAGTTTATGAAGGATTATAAAAGCAGATTAAAATTAGCATCCTTTGTTTAATGCAAGGTAGGGATTTGAAATACGTCTCTCGCTCTCTAATATACTGAATTTCACAATTCGCTCTCTCACTTTAAGTAACTATAGACTGTTATATTGTACTTTTTAAGACTCTTTTAGAATCTGTGCAATGGATCTAGACTTCGCTTGGATATTTCAATTAGAAATGATTCATCCCATAATATACTTCGCATGTTTCAATATCATATATTCTGTAATTGGATGTATTTTTTCCCGCTTCTTCCTGTGAGAAACAGTTAAATTAACAAAAGTTCCTTATAATGACAGTTCCTTTTTGAGCAGCTGGATTTTCAAATTATTTGCTCACATTGTAGAACAGAGATGTCTAGTAAGTCAATAATTGCAATAAAGTTCAAATTTGATGTCAATACAATATCTGCAAAGCAGGAATTCATTCCTTCTATACGTTTGCTACAAATATAAGCAGTAGGGTTCATGCGCTCAAACATTTGATAGCATCAGAGAATACATCCTCTTCCATTTCAAGGCAGATTTTTCTTAAGCCAGGTTCCAAGCTACTCTCACATCTGGTTTCGAGTCGTTGTTACCTACTGACCTCCTGACCTGCTGATCTATGTCCTTCGACATTTGGCTCGAATGTTGTCTTGAATATGAAAAAAACAGGTGCAAAAATTTACAGCATGAAAATATTCTGCCCAGAAACGGCGCCGCGCAATTGATCTATGGTGGACTAAGGATCAAGTTTAGTGACGTAGGATGAACGACCCTTGTCAGGTCTGACACGCAAGGTTTTGAAATTATACTAGCTGAAAACAACTCCCTGTCCAGAATTTAGCAAAATACTTTGCCGCTCAGGATAGACATTTGGACGTTGCTCAGAAAAAAACTGATCATTGTTTATTGGAAAAAGTAGTGATGGGAGGAGTGATGCTAAAACTCTAGTGAGAGATGACAGGGAATAGAAAGAAAATTGCCAACATATGAAGGATCAATACCAAATATTGTGAAATAGAACGTTAAACTTTTGACACTGAAGTTACGCAATATACATGTAAATTAAAAAAGTTTAAAAATCAATTAAGTTAATGATAACAAGATAAACATCGACCGAAAATGTATTTCCTGCCATCGTTTTTTTTTTAATCTATTTTTCTAATACACTGGTACAAAAGCTCTGAGAAAACGGTACTAAAATTAAGCATGAACTGAGTTGCCGAAGATGTTCTCCATTGGGTTTATATACCTTGTCAAAAAGTTACTCTGAACTATAGAACATCTGAGGCACCCTTTTCACGAGCCCGGGTTGAAACAAAACCGGGTTAAAAGTTATCCGTTTTTGAAGTGAGTCAATGGATCCTGCTATCGTTTTTGCTGACAAATTTGTTTGCTGCATCACTTGAGGCGGGTTTCCACGCGACCAGTCGCTCAGTAGTTCAACGAAGCTCAATTTGCGCATGCGTAAATGTCCATTTGATCAGTCGCGTGACCAGAGAGAATCAAGTGGAAACCGTCTTTTAGATTAAAGGCAATCTGTCTCGTTGTGGATTGGTTAACGAGAACAATAGCTGGAACAATAGCCTAAACACGATTCTAGCGCTCCGCCATATTTTTTACAATGCGATCAATTAAAGGTGGACTGGAAACAATAAAAAATCCCTTTGTTCTTATAATCAATCGACGTCGTGACAGATTGCCTTTAAAAGAATCTGTTAATTACTTGTGAGAATGCAAAATGGTTACAGACGCTGCTTGACTTACCAAAAGTAGTTTACACATATTTAATTGTTATAAAGTGGTTTACAAATCTTTGGTATAAACTTTGTGCCTGATTTTACATCCAGAATAAAGAGATTGCAATGATACAGAAAGAAATTTACTGAGTTAATGCTAATAATAAACAAAGACTAAAAAAAATGTTAACATGTTAGCAAATAGATAAAATAGGAGCATTCAGTATATAAACAGTTTCTTCTCTTTTTTTCATGCTTCGATTTAAAAATCAATAGAAAAAATAGTAAATGGTAAACAATAGAAAAAATGGTAAAAAATTCTTTATGTAGGAAAAATGTGGGGGCTGGAAGGGGTTGGAGCTTCAGCCCCCCAAGTGACACCGCACATGTTGTTCGAAATTCTCTTGAAGACAAATTACATGAATTCTGTAATATTTTTTAACGGGACCCGAAGATTGAACATAACTCCACCGAGAATTCCTTGATCTGAATTCAAACATTGCTACTGTTGGACAATAAGCTGTTTGGCTCTTGGCTAAGAATTAATCGCTTTATTATCCTTTCATATTCTTGCTGGTTGCACGACCAATCTTTTCCCTATTTATAGCACAGATCGCCTTCTCTTTGTTTCAGTCCAAGCGATTGCGCTCCGTTGGAAGTACAGATGAAAATGGCAATGTTTTTGAAGATGACTGGTAATTATCATTATTCACAATCTTTGTATTTGAAATGACTGTTTTAGCTAAGTGCATGAAAAAGCCAATAACAAGCCTCTGGCTAAACCCTCGCCCATTCTTGACGTGTCATTGGATTAGCCCCCCCTCCCCAAATGAAGTGATTAAATTCCATTTTTTAACAACTATGCTGTTTAAAAGATCAGGCGTTTTCTGATGTCTCACGAATTGATATTTGCTTCTTTGGTATGCGAAACGATGGAGCGAGGTCATTTAGACAAATTATCTTTGCTGTCCAATTGGTAGTGATTTCAATAATCGTACAGCACATTAAGTTTCTTTGACTTCTAAAAGTGATAAATGCCAATGCGGAAGACAGGACATGCTAGAGATAAAAGTTAATTGAAAGATTAACTTGACGTTGTGTGTAGCATATCAGTGGATCATTTTGATATCAATTCTGAATCTTTGCTTTAATTGAAGTACTTGGAATCTGGTTTTGTTCAATTGATACTGTCCAACAGCCTCTACTGCATTGCCAGTGTCACACGCACAGAGCTACAATGCTTGCCAAAAGTACAAAACACCCAGCCATCTGCAGTGCATTTTATATCTTTCATTTCTTGTCCGAAAAAAATTACTACTTCCGCCCCCTTCCCCCGAAAACAATGTTGATGATTTAGAGAAATATCATAAAAGAAGCGGAAAAGAAAGTGCTTCCTAAAATCCTAATCCGTTTCATAGTAAACCAACATTGTTCCATGGGGGAGCAGGGGATGATTGGTTTTGACGTTAGAAGCTGACGTCAGTGTTCCAAGACTTTTGGCAGGCATTGTAGGATAGAATTACCAGTTCAAGACGGGTTTTTCAGTAATAACTCCCTTTAGAATTGTAAATTTCCACCCGAAGGCTCTAGAAATCATTTTTATGATACAGACCTTTTGAAAAGGTTAGTTTGATAGCACAGGAAAGCAGGAATTATTGAAGAATGTTAGAATTTTCTTTAAAAGGGACAGCACATGCTGTGTCCGAAAAATATATATCACCATCAATTAGGGAGATGTGGGAGGCAAGAGTGAATAAGTGAATTAATTTTAGTGTGTTTGATAGATAATTCTTCATAAGTAAAAAAATTAGGTGATTCAACAATACTAAAAAGGTGCATAATTTTATATTTTTATTTGTGCCTGTTCTAGATATTTACAATATGTGCCGTTATTAGAAGATGCTTTTCTTCACCTTGAAGCAATTATTTAATAAAATTACTAGATTTGGCATGCTATTCGTTTTATGCGTGATATCTGAATTTGTAACTCCAAATTTTAGGTTATTTCTGATTTATTAAAAGCTAATAACAAATTATCTGGGTTACAGGAAATTTCGAGGAATTAGTTTGTGTACTTAATTTTAATCAAGGAACTAATTAATTGTAAATATAATCCAATATTCGTTTTTTCATATTCTGGCTTGGGTTTCATTTGGGGCCTTGCGAATCGGCAAATTTTCATTTCGAATCGAATCTCGAATCGAATCGGCCGTAAATTTTGGAAAGCCATTTTTACCCATTTTAACTAAAAAAAATTGTTTTTTTGAATTATTTTTTTGTATTTTCTTTAAGAAAAAAAACGAAAAACAAATTTTAAACAAATAACATGAATTAGAGTCACGTCGCCCCTTATGGAAGGATTCGATTTTTTCATGAGTTCTGACTGTGCAATGAAATAAATAAATATGAAGGAGTTTAGGTTTGTTTATCTTCAAAAAACGCGCGAAATTATTTTGCTGAAGACATTACTTGAACTCTTTGCTGAATATCGTTGTTTTATTTTGTTCTTAAAAGCTAGGAGAATATTTTAAAATTAAGCGGAATGTAAACGAAAAGTTGTCATTAGACCTTCGACCCTTCATTTTTTCCTGCACCTCAACTTCTTTGGTCATTCCCTCGGTCAGTTTTTTAGCTAAAACAAAACCAACCCCTACAACGCGCTTCTTCATCTCCTAAAAACGAATTTTCGTTGAAACCCAAACAATAACTTGCACAATTTTCGTTCACCGGGATTTTTTATAAGGAGCACTTTCATTGGCCTAGTGGCCTTTTTCAGGTCACAGGTGGAATCTTTTAGTATCGAATCGAATCGGCAGCCGATTCGAAAACGAATTGAATTCGAATCGATTCGCAGGGCCCTAGTTTCTAAGAATAGCCTGGGTTTTAATTCTTGCGATTGTCACTGCGAAGATTTAACAAAGCTTTTCCTGATAGCTCCATCGTTACCTTCTCGACTGTTCTTTTCAGTAATATCAAATCAGATCCGATCGAGCTGACAAGATCCTTGGCGAATCCACAAACGTCCTTGTCTGAATTCTTAAGAAGAAGCCCAGGCCCTGATACAAAACCGCTGCTAACTGGCCTAGGTGGGCCAAACACTGTTATTGCATGCTCGCCACCACTAATGTTACCATTGACAACGCCATTTTGCAGTTCTCAGGCCTCAAATAGTATTGTCGGTAGTCCGTTTACGCAAAGCAACTCATTATTCTCCCAGTATCCAAGCCTACTTCAGTATACATTTAGTCAGTCCACGTCTGGTTTAATTGCAACTACGTCAGCAAACGAAGACTCCACTGGCTCAAGTTCTCAGAGATCTTTATCTTCTGGGGCCTCTAACCCATATATGTACCAACCACCTGGTATAGGACTTCCGCCATACTACTCATCAACGAGTGAGTCAACGAATGGGATGCTAGGAAACAGTGGAAAGCCATTGGGCATCCTGCCATTCCCCCCTCTTCATCCCCCAAGCTTAAGCTTCCCCCCACATCCGACTGCTGGCTACGGTAATCAGACTCTGTTCTCGCAGTTTCGAGATAGCACCCCAACAACAATGAATAACTACTGGTATGGGAATTTTCCTCTGACAAAACAGCCATCCTTTTTAACATCATGTGGTACAACACAAATATACCCCCCAACGCCACAGACAAACCTGATGATGCAGCAGCTGGGTCAAGGGGATCAGCTAGGGGGTCAATCTTGCACACCAATGAATATGCCGAACTCTGGAAGACGGGAAAGTGCTTCATCTCCTGTTTCACAACATGATGACTCAATACCGACGACCCCTGTCTCAGCCATGGAAGGAATCACAGGTTTGTTATTTTTGATAAATGTTTTGTAATCTTCACTTACAATTTACCTATGGTATGCATAAGAAGCAAAGCTTGCCTTAAAAGACAGGTTATTCAAAAGCAGACACTTTCAAAAGCGGATTTAGGCACTTTCAAACTTATCCCTGTTTGAATTTCGGCTTTCCAGTTTCTATTTAGAAAGCGTTGGACTTTATGAGACTAATTTCAATTTGAGTCTTTTATTGTAGTCAGTTACCTGTTGTTGCCACTTCTCTTAAAGTTCCTTACATCTTCAGGTGACAATCGCGGATCACCGTTGAACGATCAATACGGACTACAACCAAGTCATCTTTCCCAGCCTTTGGATACGAGGCTAATATCCTCGATTCAGGACAGCAGTCGTGTCCTAGCAGATATGCACGATGTGAGATCTGTGTTCTCAGACGCGCAGGTCAGCCATATGCGTGGCCGGCGAACAAGTCGTTCGTCTGGGCCAAAACGTCAATCACGGAGTCGGAGGTCAAGTTCGGCAATGTCGGATCAAGAACAGAACCTTGAGGTACATCAGACAGCAATGTCCAAAACAAAATAATATTAACGCTAACGTCAACGGGTAATAGCATATAAAATAAGAGTTTGGACTGCGCTGCGAAGGGAAGCTTATGAAACAATATGATTGAAGTTGCATCAATTTAGCCTTCTAGAATCTAGCATCTTTGCCGGAAACTTACTGTCCGTTTGGAATAAGTAGTTTAGGCCTGATAAACACCTTAAAGACCGTATTTCGACGGAAGACGCGATCTACGTTTCTGTACCGTATTACCTTTTGCAACATTTAACCAGTTTAATTCGAGAGATTAAAAAAAACTTCTCTAACCTAATTACAACACAAAATGAATTGATACCAAAGGGATAAACTCAAATATTAAGTCGTTTTAATGATTATTTTAGGCAAATTTCAAGTTATGCTGTAGCTAGATTTCTGCTATAAGTGATGAATGACTTTATAAGAAGCAAGCGTTCTAAGAAATAAAAAATACTTTCCTTTCTTCCACTCGTCATATTATAAAATGTCATACAAGGTGTAAAACATTGGGAAAAACGATCGAAAAACGATCGAACAATTTTATTATAAACATTTTGATACAAAATTTTCGATCAAGTTTAGACTTTCTTTTTCCTCTTGGCTTGAAAGCCAAACATATTTACTCAAAATAGTTAGCTTTCTAAAATTCGGATATATACAAATAATTTCGGTTCCTATTAATTTTAAGTAATAACAATGATTCTTGTGGAGTTTCTGGTAAAACTATAAAAACCTGTTCGTTATTCTTTCGTAGAGAGTGTTTATTTGGGACCTCGACGAGACAATCATTATCTTTCATTCACTGCTGACAGGAGCTTATGATTCGAAATTCGGAAAGGTATTTTTCACCACATCATTTTTCTTTAAGTAGCAGTTTGGATTGTCGGGGAATTTCGAATTTTTTATCGAAGTTTTCGTAAATGAAGCATCCGGATCTAACAAAGGTCGGGGGTATTCAAAATCCCATCCGAGGAGGCTGTACATTGCAGCTGTTCTCGTCTTATTTGTATTTGTATTTGTATTTGTATTTGTATTTGTTTCTACTTAGCACCCGAAGGTAATTTTTAGGACACTGAGAAGCCATGCTTATCGAGCAGTGTCCTGGTCCTTCCTCTCGATGTGACCACACCTCATGATTCCTACGCCTGGAATTACAGAGAGCTGGCAACTCTCCCCACTCTGGGTGAAAGTTTGGTCATGCCAGGGACTCGAACCACGGCTCCTTGGGTCTGCAGTCAGCGCCTCTAACAACTGAGCCATCCTCGCCCGTCTTAAGGTCACTTTATATTGGAATGATAAAGCGCTGATACTCTCTACGAGAACAATTGCCCAATTTTCCGAGAAGGCCTCCACACCCCGAGGAAATCGAGCCTACAACTGTATACTAACATCATAGCATTACGTTTTGCTACAGTCGAGATACACAGATTCTGAACTTTTTTGCATAATAGCATCAGGTTTACTATAAGCAATAAAGCATTAAGCGAGAATAAGAACATTGCTTTTTTCTTCATAGGATAACACTGCCACAGTGTCCCTCGGTCTGCGAATGGAGGAAATGATTTTCAATCTTGCGGAGGAGCATTTGTTTTTCAGCGATCTCTCAGTAAGTATTAGTCAGCGAGGCGAGAAACCTACCAATCTGTCATATCCATTGTAAGTCTTGTGAGTCACCATGTGATTTCACGTGATCAGTTGTAGTTGCTCTTACACCAATTCACGTAAACATACAATTCAAGTCATCGCTTACAATAAGGCAAATGTAAGCCAATCATATGCCGCTATCGAAAGACTCTGAAGGTAAGCAAATTGTCAGCAATCTTGAACAAGCGTATAGTTTTTTTCAATTGCTAATAAACATAAAAACAGTTTTTCTGTATAATATTGAAAAACTTCATTGGTGACAACCAAGTGATTAATTTCTGTTCAAATATGACTTAGTACATCTTTACCAATCAGAGTCTTTCAGTAGAAAATTATCGTTTATTCTAAGAAAAATTATCTGTTGTCTATGAGTAAGACGTTTTGCTACTACACTTGCCTTTACTACAATGCCTGCCAAAAGTCTTGGAACACTGACATCAATTTCCAAGGTCAAAACCAATCATCCCCCTCTCCCCTACGGAACAATGTTGGTTTACTATCAAACGGGTTAGGATTTTAGGAAGCACTTTCTTTTGCGCTTCTTTTATGATATTTCTCTAAATCATCAACATTGTTTTAGGGGGAGGGGGTGGAAGTAGTAATTTTTTATTCATGAAAGGAATGAAAGATATCAAATGCAGCGTTAATTGCTGGGTGTTCAAGGACTTTTGGCAGGCATTGTAGGTTTAAGAATAGCTAGCTTGATGAAGTATTCCGTTATATGGCTATCGGCAACCATGGGAAACAATGCAAAGGGCATGTGTCTCATTTGATAAAGACTCTGGCTCAAAATTTGTCCTCTTCGAAACAACCATAGCCTTTGAATATATTCTACAGTAAATGGAAAATTTTAGTTTATCTTTTTATTTTAGGAGTGTGACCAGGTTCACATTGATGACGTCATGGCAGATGATAATAATCAGGACCTATCGTGAGTTTTTGGTTTACTAAGTTTTTTAATGTATTTATTTTATTGAATATATCTGTGTTTACTTATGACGGAGAATTTACTATTTGTGGTGAATTGGTATGTTTAGCTGGATTAAAAGTAATTTACGTTTTGTTCCAGATATTCTCAATGGTGCAGTTCAACATGAATAAAGCACATTTACGAACCAAACCTCAACTTTCTTGTTATTATTGCCCTTCCGTGCTGCCCCTCCTGAAAAATATGTTTGACTCGAGTTTCCTTTCAGGTCAAGGCTCCGTGTCTCATTTTAAAGTGTATTTTGATAAAATAGTCTCTAATAAGCAAAAACGATTTGTTGATGACACATTTTAGCTGAGTTTAAGAAAATTCTAAATGTATAGGAACTATAAAAGAAATTAAACATTGGAGGGGATTTTGGAGTTTTTAAGGCAGTTGTTATGACCGTATAATGGTGGTTTGTGTGACTCAAATACTGATGTGGCTACAGTTTGTAAGATACGGCTGATGCAACAAAGTACAAATCTCAGAGATCTACGTCACTTTGCGAATATCCCCAGTTGTCTATACACAAGACCCAGTATCAAGACTTTAAAGAAGAAGGAATTACCCATGGTGGTTACTGAGCATTTAAGTGGTAGGGCCATCGCCGGGGGTTTTTCCGAGTTTTTTGGCAAAGTGGCCTTTTCACTTTGAATCCCTTTACCAAACTTTGCAATTTTAAGGGCAATTTTCCAAGTTGTGAAGAATAAGGGGGCTGGACGGTTGCCCCATTATTTTAATTACTGGGGGTTTACTTCAGTAATTGTTTTGACGATTGCTTGGGATGTTCAAGGGGGCTGACAGGCTGACCTGTTTATTTTTCAGGGATTACAACTTTGAAACGGATGGTTTTCACGGAAGTATGGCAGCAGGAGGTATGGGTATACCTGGTGCATCGACAACAAGACGAAGTGGCATCGACTGGATGCGAAAGTTGGCGTTCAGATACCGACGCATCAGAGAGGCATACACGATGTATAACAACAATGTAGAAGGTACATACTTTGCATCATACTTTGCTCCATGAAAGAAGTCACAATGTAAAGCACTTCTTTCAAAAATATATTTACATCCTTTGTTGATTCAAGAAAACTACATTAAGCGTGAAAGACCGTGAATAATGTTACGTCAATGCCACGAAATAGCGGACACATACTGAAGACCTTTTGTCCGACACTTTTCGAGTTTAAATTTCGGTTTGTTGCCGAAAGTGAGCAGAAAATTTATATCTAGGTGTGGATAAAATAGTAGCGTGAGAAACTAATATGATTATAGATCACATCAAAAGTGTCATTTTTGAATGAAAATTCATTTTCAACAAATACCCAAACGTTTGTTTTAATAGGAAAGCCTCTAATGTTTAGTGCCTTCCACACAGCACCTCGTTTCTATGCTCCTAGACAGAAATCAATGATATAGAAGCGCCGAAGTTGATTGTTATAAAAGTATTTGTTAAGTGCCGTTCATAGGCAGAACCAGATGACGTCATGTCTCTCTCGGGCATGCAGGGAAAAGAATATTTTATTTTGTTTTCTTCTTTAATAGTGATAAAAAATTTCGTTGCTCGTTTTCACATTAATTTCAATCGCACAGCAATTTCCAGTTCGCTTCCATCACTTCTCGTTGCTCTGTGCTACATATATTAATTTTCTTGCAGATCTTTTAGGCCCTCCAAAAAGCGATGCGTGGCTAACGCTAAGAATGGAGCTAGAAGCCCTTACAGACAATTGGCTGACGTTAGCCATGAAAAGCCTTACAGAAATACATCGAAGGTAGCCAGTCTTTTTTATCATTGACAATGTCTGTTATTTCTACTTTTTTTGAGATTCGTTTCGCATGTTCCTCGTAGATACTTGCTTTAAATCAAACCAGAATCACATTTGTCAATAGTGTAAAGAAAAATCAGCCTACGATGTGCACCAAGGTTTTTTTATACATCGTCAAGTTTTAACCTAGAAGGGTCAAAAGGTACTCTTGCAATGAAAAAGGTGCACCTTTTTCTTTTTTAAAAATTCGCTACGTACATTGGACTAAGATTCGCTGAGAACGGGTTTTCGAATTTATAAGAGCATATTTGACCATACATAGAGCTACATTGATTATTAGATTTCTGCAGTAATGTGAATTTCTTTACTATTACTCTATCGATACTTCATGTAACTTGTTGATATGAGCGCTTCTTACATCTCTGGACAGCCGTTTATCAGTATTCCATGGTTCGTCATGTTGAATGCCTAGTAAAAGTACTTGGAACACCAAAGGCTTGAGTTTTGATTTTTTCTTTTTAATTTCTTTTTCCGAATGCCGATCCTTTCGCCTTTCCTTCTTCCAAGAAAAATATAGATAGTGTGGTTAAATAGCATATAAGTCAAACAAACATGGTTATTTAGTTTCATGCATCTTTTTGAATGGAATAGGGGTGGCTGGAAGAGGAGGTGGCTGGAAGAGGGGATGGCTTGAAGTGGGAATGGCTTGAAGTGGGGGTTGGCTGAAAGAAGGGGTGGCTGGAAGAGGGGTGGCATGAAGAGGGGGTGGCATGAAGAGGGGGTGGCTGGAAGAGGGGGTGGCTGGAAGAAGGGGTGGCTGGAAGAGGGGGTGGCTTGAAGTGGGGGTTGGCTGAAAGAAGGGGTGGCTGGAAGAGGAGGTGGCTGAAAGCAGGGGTGGCTGGAAGAGGGGGTGGCTGGAAAAAGGGGTGGCTGAAGAAGGGGTGGCTGGAAGAGGGGGTGGCTGAAAGAAGGGGTGGCTGAAAGAGGGGGTGGCTGGAAGAAGGGGTGGCTAAAAGAGGAGTGTCTGGAAGAGGGAGTTGCTGGAAGAGGGGGTGGCTGGAAGAGGGGGTGGCTGAAAGAAGGGGTGGCTTGAAGTGGGGGTTGGCTGAAAGAAGGGGTGGCTGGAAGAGGAGGTGGCTGAAAGAAGGGGTGGCTGGAAGAGGGGGTGGCTGGAAGAGGAGGTGGCTGGAAGAGGGAGTGGCTGGAAGAAGGGGGTGACTGAAAGAAGGGGTGGCTTGAAGCGGGGGCTGGCTGAAAGAAGGGGTGGCTGGAAGAAGGAGTGGCTGGAAGAGGAGGAGACTGAAAGAGGGGGTGGCTGAAAGAAGGGGTGGCTGGAAGAAGAGGTGGCTGAAAGAAGGGGTGGTATGAAGAGGGGGTGACTGGAAGGGGGGCAGCTAAAAGTGGGGATGGCTGGAAGAGGGAATGTCTGGAGTGACATGACTTATAGCCGTGACTGCTGCATGTCCAAACGATTGCTGCATGTATAATGAACGAACAAAAAGCATATGGAAGAATACTGTACATTCATGTTAGAATTATCATTGCTTTAAAGTAGAAAAAAGTGACTGGCCTTTGAGAAAACTCTTTGAGACTGCCAGTTGATGTTACAAATAGTTAATGCAGTTCGGTATCTTTAGATCAGTGGCACGAATCGGAGGGGGCTGTGGGGGTGGGGAAGGCAAAAATCAAGTTGTCAAGAGACCAATAAAAGTGGTTCTGATTGCATTGAAGTAAAGTCTGACTGACTTCACTGATAGTAATCCTCTTTGACAGCAACATAAAAACCTCTATATCCTTTCTTACTAAGCAAATTTGATACTTAATTGATAACGATTCAAATGTAAATGGTATTAGATGATACTAAACTGCAAAAAGAAAATGAAAACCTTACTACAAAACATGAAAGGATAAAGTATATAAAAATATGATTATATGGAGATTCAGCCTGCAGATTTTTCCAGACAAGATTGTCCCTATGCTTCGAATTCTGTATTCCTGCCGGTTTATTCATTTTTGGCTTAATAAATTAGCTAATTAATGTTGATAGAAAATAAAGTATTATGGTGTAATCTTGGCTGCCTAGCTTGCTATGGAGCCAGCCATTGCTCTGAGCTAAAACTGTGCGATTAAACGGCTTTGAAAAGGATGAACACTAAGTGAGCTGTCGTTGTGATTCTGCCAAGGAGATCTAGCACGAAATGAATTGGCTTCGATGTTCAAACTAAAAGGGATATTTACTGTGGAAATGGTGAATATTTGTGGACTTACTAGAAACATCTACCGAGATCCCCACCTTGAAATTTTTCAACAATTTTATACGGATGTTCAATTCTTAAAAAAGTGCAAAAGCGAATAAGGTTTTGTTAATTATATGATATTTAAAGGCTCATTAACTGTGAAAATTAACGCTTTCATTCATAGAACCAAGATTTCGTGGATAAAAAACTTCAGCCTTGGGATATCATGTTACTTGCCAGTCTTTTCAAGAATTAGGTTAAGTCCGTTGGATTTCCTCAAACGGCCGATAGGGCATCAATTTAGATTAAAAGTGGCCTTAGAAAAGAACTTAAAATCCACAGCCAAGAAGGGATTGTTAACGGTAATCCTAAAGGCTCGTATCGTTGAAAAGAAGGTGTTAACCATTGTTGTCTCTTCGAGAAGTTATAATTATTGCAGGCTTTCTACGAATTAATCAAGGTTTGTCAAAGAGGATTTTCAAAACATAAACGGACAACTTTGATTTTAGACTCTTCTTAAAATGATAAAATAATTGGTCCTAGAACTTCTTCTTTGTTTTCAAACAATCGTATATCAGTAACAGTTGTCTACTTCCTAAGATGTCCGTTGTACTATAAGATTTTTGAGCATGCCTTTCTTTTCAATTCCTTAATGGTTATAAGGCTAAATGAAGAAAGTATCAATTCTGCTAATTAAAGTGAACGATATTTTACAATGCTATTGTGAGATTGAAACGGTGTTGTTACGAGATTGAAAATGGCGTTGTTACGAGATTTAAAATGGTGTTGTTACGAGATTTTACACGGTGTTGTTACGAGATTTAAAATGGTGTTGTTACGAAATTTAAAATGTTGTTGTTAAGAGATTTAAAATAGTGTTGTTACAAGATTGAAAATGGTGTTGTTACGAGATTGAAAATTGTGTTGTTACGAAATTTAAAATGTTGCTGTTACGAGATTTAAAATGGTGTTGTTACAAGATATAAATCGGTGCTGTTGCGATAGAGTTGCATGCAGCTTCAAACTTTTCTTGTTCTTTAAAAGGATATTGACCTTTAATGTTACACGTCTTTTGAAGAAGAAGTGGCTACTAAGAAAAAGATTTTGTAATATTTGTGACAAGTTTAATCCTTCCTCACCTTTGATACCTATTGAGAGGTCAGGATCTTTAATGATTACAAGTATAGAAATATGGAACCCTCACAATATTTGAGGCCATCAGTAGGGGCACTTGGGACATTTGTGACGTAATTTGCTGGGTTGTTGTCCTCTTGATGTTCGCCAGACAAGATTAGTTTACGGCACAAAATATTCAGATCTTTTATCATGTTAGCAATAGATGCAACTTAATCGACTTCCTCCCAAAATGCCCAAGTCGCTAAATCGACTTCCTAGCTAATTATATGAACCTTAATATTTTCTTCCATGCAATGTATTTGATAAGATATCTGTTACGATAAAAGGTATAAAAATATGCATTGGAATTTTATAAAAATTCTCATTGAAACGATATTTGATTTAGGTTTAATCGATAAAAATTGATTCTATATCAATGACCAATATTACTTCTTTAGGAAAAACTGCATCAATGTACTAGTGACAACAACACAGCTGGTACCTGCCCTAGCCAAGTGTCTGCTCTATGGTCTTGGGAACATATTTCCAATTGAAAACATCTACAGTGCCACAAAAATTGGTGAGTTTCTTACAGACATTGCAAACAACTTGTTTTCAGTTGTTGATGTTAGGGAAAGGCTTAAATACTATATAGCTTAGCCCTAACAAAGGAAATGAAAAAGGAATTTGGAAGTAAGAGAGGAAAGTTCAAGCTGATTTATTTTTGCTTTGAATAAAGATAGGTTGTAAGAGTCTAGAAAACATGTATGGGGTAGAGCATTCCAAAATTTACATGATCTAGGGAGGAAGGAAGAGTTATGGGACTGAGTTAGTGCGTTTGTCAGAGACTTGGAAAGGGTGATGTTTTTGTTACCCATACTACTACTATTTGTCATAATGCAATATACAATGTACATGAAAAGGGACGTTGGTCCTACAAACTCTCCATATGGTGATAGGGGAACAGAAAATGGTTCAAAGGGGAGTAATAGAGTAGAATTGAAAGACTTGATATATAGCGAAGAAAGATCAGGGGTAGAATGCAAAGCGAGGTAGAAGAGATGCAGAAGAGGCAAGAAAGAGTATATGATATGTTATCAAAAACATATGATATGTTTTTTGAAAGACAAGATTTGAAATTATTTGCTGGATCTTCTAAGAATACGACTGCCTTCTAAGAATATGTAGTTGTTACTCATCTACACAAAATAAGTAACAATTCCTCCTTTCTCGCCCCCTTGTTTTGCCTAGCCAAGGGAAATAGATTACTCCTTCTTGTCTTCGGTTTTTTTAAGGAAATTAGATTCCTGATTTAAGTCGTTTAGTTGTACGGTCTTATACGCTAAAAAATGATTTGAAATGTTTAACATTTTACTTATTTAATGAAATTAGTGTTATTTGATATACTTTGATTGCATATAATTTTGCGGTAAAACTAGTATTTAGGAATATAATGCAAAATCCAAACTTTACAATTCATTGTTTGATTTTTCGTCGCTTTTAGCAAACAATTTCAAGCAACTTCAACCATCTGCAAACATTGTAATTAGCGTGTTTTTAATGTTCATCTAACTAATGTCAAATATTGTCTCATCGAAAAAAAAACTACGAAAAGCTTTAGAAGGGAATAAAGCTATTATCTCTAATTTTGATGAAATCGGTACACAGTGAAATGTAGACACATAAAATTATCATCTGTAGTTTTGTCTGTGATCTCTACCAAAGCAATTTGTTGACTATCCTTCAAGCCTTACTACTTATTCATCTAGGCAGCTCGGTATTTTAACTCTTTAACTCTTATGAGTAAATGGTTATCTTTAACTTAAGAAGAACACTTTTTTGGCTGTACAGAATTTGAGAATGGCTTTAAAGAAGGCAAACATTTCTTAACATATTACTTAAAGCTTTTTTGTCTGACACTCCTCAGAGTATAAAACGTCAGAATATTTTCTTCTCGTCGGAAAATCAGAATTATCGTCAGAATATCAAAATATTCTGATTTGCTTATTTCGATCCACAACTAGGTATATATTTTCCATCTTGTTCTTTCGAACACTTATTCTGACGTTTTATACTCTGCAGAGTGCCAGACGAAAAGTCTTTAAGTAGTATATTGTAAATTGTTTGCTTTTTCAAAATATAAGAAGAGCTTTATACAAGAGCTACTTTCCAAGACTCTGTTTAGTTAAACAGAAGTATTTATGTTGAGTATTAACCCTTTTTGCAGGTAAAGATGCCTGTTTTGAAAGAATTCAGAATAGATTTGGTCGCAAATCCACGTATGTTGTCATTGGCGATGGTAAAGACGAGGAAATTGCAAGCAAACAGGTAAGAAACAGCATATTGAACAAGGACTTCATCGTACTTGTACGAAGGAAAAAAGGCTGATCTCGGAGCTTATCAATGATCTGATTACAAATATTTACCCAAACATTTAATTGGTACTTACCATATCCCCTCTTTTTCTCTTTTGTGTTTTCCACGTCAATTGAGTAACGTCTAACTTAACCATTCCCACAATTTGACAGCATATAATCAGAGTTCTTTCCCAACCCTTTCTTGGTGTTATTTTCAATCACTCTTTTCACTGCAAGTCATTGCAATGCCGCTTTCATAGAAAGAGCCTGATACGAGCGTTCATTCGTGAAGAAAAAACCGTTCTGTGGTTTTTATCTAAATTAAAAAAAATCTTACCCTTGCCTTACATTATGATGAGTACCAAAATGGTAACACGTGGTAAAGGCTCTCATGAAAAGTACCCTCGCGTCATTTTTACTTTCTGCTACTACATGAAACTAAAATTTTACATTTTAAAACTCGCTTAATATGTGGCCTGTATTTCAATAGATGCTTATTTTCATTGTTTGTTAGCCTTTTATATACTTTGCATTATATCTTCTCATTTTATCTTATTAGCTTGGATTCCCATTTTGGAGGATCTCCTGTCATAGTGACCTTGTCAACTTGAACCATGCATTGAAGCTTGGACACCTTTGACCTGTGCCCTTTCGCTTTTCAAAGGTAGGTCAAAAGCCATGTTTAGGGCTTGTTTGCAAACATAGGCCTTTAATGGAGATTTTTCTCTACATTGTGATGTAACATTTTCTAGTAGCTCTAGCCAAAGGCATGCAATCCTCACAAAAAACAAGAGGAAACCTCTCTCTACTGCCCATCACCTTATATCAGTCCTGAACAAATTTTCATGTCCATAAGGTGATACCCTGGATAAAACACAATTAAAGTTTGAAAACATCAAGGCTTATTTCTTACCATGAAGCAATGGAATACAAGAACAACTATGGAAAAATTTAGAAGCCATTCTTGCTTGCTACAGAAAACTTGCAATCCTTTTTGGGTTTTAACTATAACCAGAGGGTCCTATATAAAAGACAAACTCAATTTTGTATTTGAGTCAAAATAGATGGCCAGACAAAATGCTTTTGATAAATAACAGTCCGGATCCATTTAACTTTGTATTTCTTAATTTGTTGAAAAATTACTCCCCTCAGGATTTCAATCTTGAAAAAAACTGCCAACCTCCTGATAATTTGAACATCCAAACATGCTTCTCTTGCCTTTGAGAGCTAAATTAGCACCATTGACTTTACAAGCATCAACCACAATGGTGCAAGAGATTTTCCAGGTATCATTTTAAACAGAACAGAACGGCCTACTTATAACTGTTGTAAAAACAAAAAGGTTTTAGTTTATCAGAAACTATCAATAAACACTTCAAATGGCCACCAAAAGGAAGCTTTATTCAATTGCTGGTCATTTTATTTTGGAAATATTAAAGGTTGTTTCATATCATGTAGGTTTTATATCTGGTAGCAATGTTTATTTTACTGTTTAACATAAAAAATGACTTCTAAAGTGCCTCTTGTGTTGTAAAACTAAAATATTTGGCTTATAGAGGCTCGTGCTTTTCTCGAGGAATGAATTATTTGATATCATAAGGGTAAATTTTGCTAAAAAGATGCTTTACAGATGAATATGAGATATTGTGAGTATTTTTTAATAAACTGAAGGTTTTTCAATCAGTTTCTGGCTCCGTTTTAGCTACTGTTGTTTATTCCATATATCTTTGGTTTTCAATTTATACAAAGATTTTAAATATTTTAGTAAGGTTTTTATCTGGAAAGAAATAGAAGTATATTCATATTATTGTGTATCATAAATCTTCAGAAGGTTAAGATAGTCAAATAAACTATATTTTAAATCTTTATAGGATCGTTTAGTATTTGGTAATATTGGAAACAAAGTTGTTTAGACATATTTTTAGAAAAAATTTAGCCTTCTTCAACCATAGTATTATGTATTAGTGGATGTATAATTGTTTGTTTCAAAATGTTCCCTGAGCGTTTTTAGTGGAAATGTGTTCAAACGCTACGTGTTGTTAACATCTAGAACAATCCACAAAAGTATAATTTCTTGCTACGAAAATCGAATTGAGTGATTTAAAGTTTTATAAATCGTGTGATTCTTCAGTCTAGAAATGAATTATTATTTTGAAATGGTAACCTACTCGTCACTGCTACCAAATGAGGTTTTGTTGCCGATTACTGTTAAAAGATGTTACTAGTGAAATAGTTCTTCCCTTGAAACACAATTTAAAATTGGCCATGCACTATCTAAAACGAATTTTTCATTAGTAAGTAGTAGCCAATTGTATCTAAAAAATTCAGTTTTTCTCTCTACTCTCAAGTTCCTAATTGTAGGGGGGGGGGGGGGTAAACTCCAATTTTCAGAAATTTTGCATACCTACCTCCATTTATTAACACTCCTCCCCTAATTATATATTTCATGTATAATAAACATAATTTCGTCCCAATTTAAACATAAATTCGGAAAATATAAGCATTTTAACCTATTATGACCCCCCATTTTAGGGTTTTTAAAAAATACCAACCCCCTCCTTATTAGACCCCCCTACAATTAGGAAATTTAAAATGACCTGAAATTGAACATAAGGACCACAACTTCTTTCTCCTGGGGTCCTTTTCGGGAATTTTTCTCCTATCAGCGAGCACCGAAGGTATTCAAGAGTTTGGTTGTCTGTAACTATTTTTAGTAGTATTTAATAAATAAAGCATTAAATGCAAGAAGAATCCTGGCTTAGTACCTGTCAAACTTTTTGAAAAAAATGTTATTTTGTTTCACTGTGATCTTACAAAGATGTTTTAGAACATAGAGTAGATTTTATTTTTAGATACTAGAACACTTGTATCAATCAGTTAGTGATTTTCTATTCTCAAGCTTTGCGTTGAATACGGCAGCTATGCGTAATCAATAACACTCATTAGTTGCAAATCTATTTTCACTGGCCAAGCATTTTCATTCACCGTCAATTTATATTGGAACTTGGCTTTAAATTCAAACAACAATCATTTCTGCCTGATTTTAAATGAATGTGCTTAGCATTATACTGAAAAGCGTTTTGTCTGTGAAGAAAAAGTAACTTTTTTGAATTAGACTGACACAAAGTTCACGCTGACACAAAAAGTCAATTGAGACTTGGGTATCAAGCTTTAGTCCGAAGGATAGAAGAATAACTTTGCAACATTTGGCGACAACATTTTTAGACAAAATTAGATACTTATGATAATTGCGATAGACATGCATGTAGACAAAAAAGGTGCCTGGTTCTTTTGTTCTTCAGAAGAAAATTCTTTGCTAGCTCTTCAAAATGGTTTCAAATCCATTTTATTATCTTGGTTTATTCTTAGGAAACCATTTTAGCCTAAAAAATGCAAGGTCAAAAGCTTTTTTGCATTTTAGCTTGTTTTTCAGCAAAAATGGATTGGCTTCTACTCAAAAATCTAGTGGAATTGCATTTATACATCTTTTAAACAGCGCAGGTTTCAAGCGAAACTATTCTTGAGTAGAATTGATAACACCTTTAGACTTCAATTTTATAGAAAAATACACCATCAATTGAATATCAAGTCATTTCACAATAATTTGAATGTTGAATATTTTATCACTGAAAAGTGCTCGATAAGTTAATATGAAAATATTTCCAGAAAAATAGGAAAAATCTACGAACAACAAATCCAACCAGACGGAGGAGTCATTTTCTTGTGGATAACTGCTTTATTACTAACAGAATCTGCAATGCTGAAAATTAAAATCGATTACATTTGTCCAATCGTGTCATTATATATCTACAGCTACTTTTATTTCATGTGTTGGCCTGCAACAGAAAATGTGGTTGGAAACGAATGAAGGGGCCCCAACATGTTGAGTCATCTGATATTGTTGCAAATTTTGATATGCAAATTCACTGAGCCCTATCAGCTTAGAAAATTGTCATGTAATTTTGAAATTTTTTTCTTCAAAATCATATTAATTCTCTTCAATATGATAAAAATACGGCAAAACTTGAATTTAGTTGCAGAGTAAGTCTTTTTTTACAAAAAACAACGTCCTAATTCAATGGGTCAATAGTTGATGAAAACTTAAGGCTATAAGCTTAGAAAATTGTCATGTATTTTTCAAAAACTTTTTTTCAAAATCATATTAAGTCTCTTCAATATGATAAAAATTGGCCAAAAATTGAAATTAGTTGCTGAGTAAGACTTTTTTTTACAAAAAACAACAACTTAATTCAATGGGTCAATTGTTGGTAAAAACCTAAGGCTATAAGCTTAAAAAACTGTCATGTATTTTTGAAAAACTTTTTTGTTAAAATCATATTAAGTCTCTTCAATATGATAAAAATAGGCCAAACATTGAATTTAGTTGCTGAGTAAGTCTTTTTTTACAAAAAACAACGTCCTAATTCAATGGGTCGACTGTTGGTAAAAATTTAAGGCTATAAGCTTAAAAAAATGTCAAGTATTTTTGAAAAACTTTTTTTCAAAATCATATTAAGTCTCTTCAATATGATAAAAATAGGCCAAAAAATTGAATTTTGTTGCTGAGTAAGTCTTTTTTTACAAAAAACAACGTCCTAATTTAATGGGTCAATTGTTGGTAAAAATCTATGGCTATAGGCTCAGAAAATTGTTGATTTTTTTTGGATAGAAACTTTTTTCAAAATCTGAGTTGTTCGCTTTTGTTTGAGCAAAATGATAAAAAATTGAATTTAGTTGCTGAGTAAGTCTTTTTTTACAAAAAACAACATCCTAATTTAATGGGTCGATTGTTGGTAAAAACTTAGGGCTATAAGCTTAGAAAATTGTCAAATATTTTTTGAAAAACTTTTTGTTAAAATCATATTAATCCTCTTCAATATGATAAAAATTGGCCAAAAATTGAATTTAGTTGCTGAGTAAGACTTTTTTTACAAAAAACAACGTCCTAATTCAATGGGTCGATTGTTGGTAAAAACTTAAGGCTATAAGCTTAGAAAATTGTTATGTTTTTTTGAAAAACTTTTTTTCAAAATCATATTAAGTCTCTTCAATATGATAAAAATAGGCCAAAAATTGAATTTAGTTGCTGAGTAAGACTTTTTTTACAAAAAACAACGTCCTAATTCAATGGGTCGATTGTTGGTAAAAACTTAAGGCTATAAGCTTAGAAAATTGTTATGTTTTTTTGAAAAACTTTTTTTCAAAATCATATTAAGTCTCTTCAATATGATAAAAATAGGCCAAAAATTGAATTTAGTTGCTGAGTAAGACTTTCTTTACAAAAAACAACGTCCTAATTCAATGGGTCGATTGTTGGTAAAAACTTAAGGCTATAAGCTTAGAAAATTGTCAAATATTTTTGAAAAACTTTTTTGTTAAAATCATATTAATCCTCTTCAATATGATAAAAATTGGCCAAAAATTGAATTTTGTTGCTGAGTAAGTCTTTTTTTACAAAAAACAACGTCCTAATTCAATGGGTCGATTGTTGGTAAAAACTTAAGGCTATAAGCTTAGAAAATTGTCAAGTATTTTGAAAAACTTTTTTGTTAAAATCATATTAATCCTCTTCAATATGATAAAAATTGGCCAAAAATTGAATTTAGTTGCTGAGTAAGACTTTTTTTACAAAAAACAACGTCCTAATTCAATGGGTCGATTGTTGGTAAAAACTTAAGGCTATAATCTTAGAAAATTGTCAAGTATTTTTGTAAAAACTTTTTTTCAAAATCATATTAATCCTCTTCAATATGATAAAAATAGGCCAAAAATTGAATTTTGTTGCTGAGTAAGACTTTTTTTACAAAAAACAACGTCCTAATTCAATGGGTCGGTTGTTGGTAAAAACTTAAGGCTATAAGCTTAGAAAATTGTCAAGTATATTTGAAAAACTTTTTTGTTAAAATCATATTAATCCTCTTCAATATGATAAAAATTGGCCAAAAATTGAAATTAGTTGCTGAGTAAGTCTTTTTTTACAAAAAACAACGTCCTAATTCAATGGGTCGATTGTTGGTAAAAACTTAAGGCTATAATCTTAGAAAATTGTCAAGTATTTTTGAAAAACTTTTTTTCAAAATCATATTAAGTCTCTTCAATATGATAAAAATAGGCCAAAAATTGAATTTTGTTGCTGAGTAAGTCTTTTTTTACAAAAAACAACGTCCTAATTCAATGGGTCGATTGTTGGTAAAAACTTAAGGCTATAAGCTTAGAAAATTGTCATGTTTTTTTGAAAAACTTTTTTTCAAAATCATATTAAGTCTCTTCAATATGATAAAAATAGGCCAAAAATTGAATTTAGTTGCTGAGTAAGACTTTTTTTTACAAAAAACAACGTCCTAATTCAATGGGTCGATTGTTGGTAAAAACTTAAGGCTATAGACTTAGAAAATTAACATGTTTTTTTGAAAAATGTTTTTTCAAAATCATATTAAGTCTCTTCAATATGATAAAAATTGGCCAAAAATTGAATTTAGTTGCAGAGTAAGTCTTTTTTTACAAAAAACAACGTCCTAATTCAATGGGTCGATTGTTGGTAAAAACTTAAGGCTATAGACTTAGAAAATTAACATGTTTTTTTGAAAAATGTTTTTTCAAAATCATATTAAGTCTCTTCAATATGATAAAAATTGGCCAAAAATTGAATTTAGTTGCAGAGTAAGTCTTTTTTTACAAAAAACAACGTCCTAATTCAATGGGTCGATTGTTGGTAAAAACTTAAGGCTATAGACTTAGAAAATTGTCAAGTATTTTTGAAAAACTTTTTTGTTAAAATCATATTAATCCTCTTCAATATGATAAAAATTGGCCAAAAATTGATATTAGTTGCTGAGTAAGACTTTTTTTACAAAAAACAACGTCCTAATTCAATGGGTCGATTGTTGGTAAAAACTTAAGGCTATAGACTTAGAAAATTAACATGTTTTTTTGAAAAATGTTTTTTCAAAATCATATTAAGTCTCTTCAATATGATAAAAATTGGCCAAAAATTGAAATTAGTTGCTGAGTAAGACTTTTTTTTACAAAAAACAACGTCTTAATTCAATGGGTTGATTGTTGGTAAAAACTTAATGCTATAAGCTTAGAAAATTAACATGTTTTTTTGAAAAATGTTTTTTCAAAATCATATTAAGTCTCTTCAATATGATAAAAATTGGCCAAAAATTGAAATTAGTTGCTGAGTAAGTCTTTTTCCCAAAAAACGTCCAAATTCAATGGGTTGATTGTTGGTAAAAACTTAATGCTATAAGCTTAGAAAATTAACATGTTTTTTTGAAAAATGTTTTTTCAAAATCATATTAAGTCTCTTCATTATGATAAAAATAGGCCAAAAATTGAATTTAGTTGCTGAGTAAGTCTTTTTTTACAAAAAACAACGTCCTAATTCAATGGGTCGATTGTTGGTAAAAACTTAATGCTATAAGCTTAGAAAATTAACATGTTTTTTTGAAAAATGTTTTTTCAAAATCATATTAAGTCTCTTCAATATGATAAAAATTGGCCAAAAATTGAAATTAGTTGCTGAGTAAGTATTTTTCCCAAAAAACGTCCAAATTCAATGGGTTGATTGTTGGTAAAAACTTAATGCTATAAGCTTAGAAAATTAACATGTTTTTTTGAAAAATGTTTTTTCAAAATCATATTAAGTCTCTTCATTATGATAAAAATAGGCCAAAAATTGAATTTAGTTGCTGAGTAAGTCTTTTTTTACAAAAAACAACGTCCTAATTCAATGGGTCGATTGTTGGTAAAAACTTAAGGCTATAAGCTTAGAAAATTGTCAAGTATTTTTGAAAACTTTTTTTGTTAAAATCATATCAAGTCTCTTCGATATTATAAAATTAGGCCAAAAATTGAATTTAGTTGCTTAGTAAGTCTTTTTTTACAAAAAACAACGTCCTAATTTAATGGGTCAATTGTTGGTAAAAATCTATGGCTATAGGCTCAGAAAATTGTTGATTTTTTTTACATAGAAACTTTTTTCAAAATCTGAGTTATTCGCTTTTGTTTGAGCAAAATGATAAAAATTTGAATTTAGCTGCTGAGTAAGTCCTTTTTTACAAAAAACAACGTCCTAATTCAATGGGTCGATTGTTGGTAAAAACTTAAGTCTATAAGCTTAGAAAATTGTCAAGTATTTTTGAAAACTTTTTTTGTTAAAATCATATCAAGTCTCTTCGATATGATAAAATTAGGCCAAAAATTGAATTTAGTTGCTGAGTAAGTCTTTTTTTACAAAAAACAACGTCCTAATTCAATGGGTCGATTGTTGGTAAAAACTTTAGGCTATAAGCTTAGGAAATTGTCAAGTATTTTTGAAAACTTTTTTTGTTAAAATCATATCAAGTCTCTTCGATATGATAAAATTAGGCCAAAAATTGAATTTAGTTGCTTAGTAAGTCTTTTTCTACAAAAAACAACGTCCTAATTTAATGGGTCAATTGTTGGTAAAAATCTATGGCTATAGGCTCAGAAAATTGTTGATTTTTTTTAGATAGAAACTTTTTTCAAAATCTGAGTTATTCGCTTTTGTTTGAGCAAAATGATAAAAAATTGAATTTAGTTGCTGAGTAAGTCTTTTTTTACAAAAAACAACGTCCTAATTTAATGGGTCGATTGTTGGTAAAAACTTAAGGCTATAAGTTTAGAAAATTGTCATGTTTTTTTGAAAACTTTTTTTCAAAATCATATTAAGTCTCTTCAATATGATAAAAATAGGCCAAAAATTGAACTTTGTTGCTGAGTAAGTCTTTTTAAAAAAAAACAACGTCCTAATTCAATGGGTCGATTGTTGGTAAAAACTTAAGGCTATAAGCTTAGAAAATTAACATGTTTTTTTGAAAAATGTTTTTTCAAAATCATATTAAGTCACTTCAATATGATAAAAATTGGCCAAAAATTGAATTTAGTTGCTGAGTAAGACTTTTTTTACAAAAAACAACGTCTTAATTCAATGGGTCAATTGTTGGTAAAACCTAAGGCTATAAGCTTAGAAAATTAACTTGTTGTTTTGAAAAATGTTTTTTCAAAATCATATTAAGTCTCTTCAATATGATAAAAATTGGCCAAAAATTGAAATTAGTTGCTGAGTAAGACTTTTTTTACAAAAAACAACGTCTTAATTCAATGGGTCAATTGTTGGTAAAAACCTAATGCTATAAGCTTAGAAAACTGTCATGTATTTTTGAAAAACAATTTTGTTAAAGTCATATTAAGTCTCTTCAATATGATAAAAATAGGCCAAAAATTGAATTTAGTTGCTGAGTAAGTCTTTTTTTACAAAAAACAACGTCCTAATTCAATGGGTCGATTGTTGGTAAAAACTTAAGGCTATAAGCTTAGAAAATTGTCAAGTATTTTTGAAAACTTTTTTTGTTAAAATCATATCAAGTCTCTTCGATATTATAAAATTAGGCCAAAAATTGAATTTAGTTGCTTAGTAAGTCTTTTTTTACAAAAAACAACGTCCTAATTTAATGGGTCAATTGTTGGTAAAAATCTATGGCTATAGGCTCAGAAAATTGTTGATTTTTTTTACATAGAAACTTTTTTCAAAATCTGAGTTATTCGCTTTTGTTTGAGCAAAATGATAAAAAATTGAATTTAGTTGCTGAGTAAGTCTTTTTTTACAAAAAACAACGTCCTAATTCAATGGGTCGATTGTTGGTAAAAACTTAAGGCTATAAGTTTAGAAAATTGTCATGTTTTTTTGAAAACTTTTTTTCAAAATCATATTAAGTCTCTTCAATATGATAAAAATAGGCCAAAAATTCAACTTTGTTGCTGAGTAAGTCTTTTTAAAAAAAAAACAACGTCCTAATTCAATGGGTCGATTGTTGGTAAAAACTTAAGGCTATAAGCTTAGAAAATTAACATGTTTTTTTGAAAAATGTTTTTTCAAAATCATATTAAGTCACTTCAATATGATAAAAATTGGCCAAAAATTGAATTTAGTTGCTGAGTAAGACTTTTTTTACAAAAAACAACGTCTTAATTCAATGGGTCAATTGTTGGTAAAACCTAAGGCTATAAGCTTAGAAAACTGTCATGTATTTTTGAAAAACTTTTTTGTTAAAATCATATTTAGTCTCTTCAATATGATAAAAATAGGCCAAAAATTGAATTTAGTTGCTGAGTAGGTCTTTTTTTACAAAAAACAACGTCCTAATTCAATGGGTCGATTGTTGGTAAAAACTTAAGGCTTTAAGCTTTGAAAATTGTCATGTATTTTTGAACAACTTTTTTTCAAAATCATATTAATCCTCTTCAATATGATAAAAATACGGCAAAACTCGAATTTAGTTGCAAAGTAAGTCTTTTTTTACAAAAAACAACGTCCTAATTCAATGGGTCAATAGTTGATAAAAACGTAAGGCTATAAGCTTAGAAAATTGTCAGGTATTTTTGAAAAACGTTTTTGTTAAAATCATATTAAGTCTCTTCAATATGATAAAATTAGGCCAAAAATTGAATTTAGTTGCTGAGTAAGTCTTTTTTTACAAAAAAACAACGTCCTAATTTAATGGGTCAATTGTTGGTAAAACTCTACGGCTATAGGCTCAGAAAAATGTTGATTTTTTTTAGATAGAAACTTTTTTCAAAATCTAAGTTATTCGCTTTTGTTTGAGCAAAATGATAAAAAATTGAATTTAGTTGCTGAATAAGTCTTTTTTTACAAAAAACAACGTCCTAATTTAATGGGTCGATTGTTGGTAAAAACTTAAGGCTATAAGGTTAGAAAATTGTGATGTTTTTTTGAAAAACTTTTTTTCAAAATCATATGAAGTCTCTTCAATATGATAAAAATAGGCCAAAAATTGAATTTTGTTGCTGAGTAAGTCTTTTTTACAAAAAACAACGTCCTAATTCAATGGGTCGATAGCTGGTAAAAACTTAAGGCTATAAGTTTAGAAAGATGTCATGTTTTTTTGAAAAACGTTTTTTCAAAATCATATTAAGTCTCTTCAATATGATAAAAATAGGCCAAAAATTGAATTTAGTTGCTGAGTAAGACTTTTTTTACAAAAAACAACGTCTTAATTCAATGGGTCAATTGTTGGTAAAAACCTAAGGCTATAAGCTTAGAAAATTGTCATGTATTTTTGATAAACTTTCTTTCAAAATCATAATAATTCTTTTTAATATGATAAAAATAGGTCAAAAATTGAATTTAGTTACTGAGTAAGTCTTTTTATACAAAAAACAACGTCCTATTTCAATGGGTTGATTGTTGGTAAAAACTTAAGGCTATAAGCTTAGAAAATTGTCATGTCTTTTTGAAAAACTTTTTTTCAAAATCATATTAATCCTCTTCAATATGATAAAAATAGGCCAAAAATTGAATTTAGTTGCTGAGTAAGTCTTTTTTTACAAAAAACAACGTCCTAATTCAATGGGTCAATTGTTGGTAAAAACTTAAGGCTATAAGCTTAGAAAATTGTCATGTATTTTTGAAAAACTTTTTTTCAAAATTATATTAATCCTCTTCAATATGATAAAAATACGCCAAAAATTGAATTTAGTTGCTGAGTAAGTCTTTTTTTACACAAAACAACGCCCTAATTTAATGGGTCGATTGTTGGTAAAAACTTAAGGCTATAGGCTTGGAAAATTGTGAATTGTTTTTTAAAAAAACTTTTTTCAAAATTTGAGTCATTCATTTTAGTATGATCGAAATGAGCAAAAGTTGAATTTAGTCTTTGAAAATTGGCAATTTTTTACAACAGAAATTTCTTTCAAAATCATATCAATCCTCCTCATTATGATAGAAATACAGAAAATTTGAATTTAGCTGCTGAAAACTCATCTTTATATGGAACGAACAACGTCTTGTCTCAATGGGCCAACTTTTTTGGTAAATATTTTCCTTCGAAACCAGATTTATTCCCTTCGATATGATAAAACCATGCAAAAATTGACTTTAGTTGCTGAATAAAAGACTTTGTTACGAAAGAAATAGCCACTCGTTTCAATTGGATAAACTGTAAGGGTATAGGCTTAAAAAATTTTGAATTTTTTTAAAAGAAATTTTTTTTCAAAATCACTATAGTTCACTTCAATAAGCAAAAAAAATGAGATTTTGTTTTGGAAATAAGTCCTTATTTGAAGAAAAAACAAGTTTTTTACTGGGTCACTTTTTGATGAAAAGTAAGTCTATAGGCTTAAAATTTGATACGAATAAAATGCAGAGGAGAAGAAAAGCTTGGAGGAAGTTGGCTCTTCTTCGAAAAAACTTATAACAAAGAAGGAAAGAGGTAATTGTGTGCGAAAGAATGTTTCTCGTAAATTTTATGTTTTGTTTTCAATCATAGCTGGTATGTAGACTCAAAAGAATGAACGACCTGATGATCTTTATCTCTTTTTGGTCTTTCAAGCTTACTTCCACTGCCAGACATATTACAGAAAAAAAATCGGGCAGCATGCAGAAGCCACGATACTTTACGATTATCAGACAGTCGAATGCAGGCTTAATGTTGCTCAATCACTTTTAATTGCATCAAAACCATTGATACGAACACAATTGTAATTTATATATAAAGCCAAGTAAAGCAAAATGATGCCTTGAAATATGTCGAATTTGATTATGAAACAGAGAAACTTTTTGCACGTAGCACAAGAGAAATATTTTTACCAATTGAAAGAAAAAACAGAAGTATCTACCAGCATTTCATATACAACATACAAGTATTCCAAAGTTTCTTCACCCTTCGGATCAGTATTTGTGGCGTGTTCGGGGCCCGAAGATGGCAACAAGAAATAAGACGTTTTGTCTATTTGCCTTTGATCTTCAACTAACTCCAATTTTCAAAATAAAATCATTAATAATGTTATATGATCAATCATTATTAAACTAAAATATATTTTCGAAAGGATACAGACGGAGACAGAAAACATAACATAATCGTTTCATAAACTGAGAGTAGATATTGGGCAGGATCCATTTATTAACATACGCGGGGCAAAACTGATTTGGTCCCAAGTCGAACTTGGTGCCAATATCACACCTCCCACAACTAATAAATGTTGATTTTGGACAACATCGTACTAATGCGTTCCAAATTTTACAAAACTGAGGGGGGAGGGGGGATTGATTACTTGGCGCAAGTGTAGGGGCTGTCCTCTTGAAAAATGCCTGTCAGCGAACTCAATCCCAGGGGTTTTTTCAGCTGGTTAAGTTGGACTTTGTCTAATGGGATGGGTCATCGCCTAAGTTGGTTGTGATTGGCAACTGAAGTTTTTCCTTCGTTGGACAGTAAAGCATAATTTACCCCATTCTCAGGATTGATCAATTAACATACACAGAGCAAAACTAATTTGGCTCCGACTCCAATTTTGTGCCAAAATCACATATTGAAGTTGCTTAACTATTAGACACTTTTTATCATCACGTGTATATTCTGATAAAAAACGGCACTACCTTGTGGCAAATATCAAACTGGTATTGGCGAAAAACTGTTTTAAAAACACAGCTATGAAATTATTCTGGTTTGAAGTTAACTGTAACCACACTTATCTCACATACACGTACATTAAAATGTCAAATTAAATTAAGTTTCTGGATGGTCAAGGAAAATCGATATTCTGTTCTTTGGTAGCTCGTGAATAGTATCCTAGGGGTAGGAAAGTCAAATTACCCATTTCGCCATTTCGTCTCTTTTGCGGTACATAATGGTCAACTCCTCCCCTTTCTGTATATCTTCTACTGCTACTATTGTAAGCGCATCGCCGACTGGAAATTGACTGCAATTGGGGTCGTCATCGTGGTTGAAAAAACTGACTGTTAATGCCAACGCCACTTCTTTGGGTATTCGCTCCTCCTGCCAACCCCATTTAAAACAATTGTTGGAAATTACGTTTCTGATGATATCTGGCGTAAGCAAGCTTTTATCAACTCCAGCTTCTTCCGGAGTTTGTGGCAAGAAAGGTGGTACATCATCGTTTAACTTGCGATAGGCCATCCACTCAAGGTCAGAAATCAAAGGCAAATCATCGGCCTTGGTGCCATCTCTCTTTCTATCCAACAGCAAAAGTTTTTTAGCAAGTAGCCCATTGTACTTGACCAATGAAACCAGTTTACTTTCAAGATTTATTTCACTTGCAAAATAACATTGTTGTCTACTTTCATCAACAAAAATGGCAGAAGAAGAGCTTTTGGTTCCCTGTGACACAATTGGATGGTCAACAACAAGCAACTCTCCTTTAAAGATGCCTCTCTTAGCTCTTAATCCTCTTCCTTTTCCAGAGATGTAGCAGTGCTCCATTGTGTCGGGACATAGATAATCCGACGGCACTTTGACATTTCTGTTAGCCTCTAAAGTTATGGGACAACTTTTGTTAAGGGCGTTGGCTACAACTCTATAAGAATTGTTTCTTCCATCATACAGATTCAACAAGGAGAGATCCCCCATTGCAGCCAACCTTGCTAACTCTATTTCCCCCAGCGACGAAAACGCCTTGGTCATTGCAAACCTTGCTTGTTTGCGATGCTTTTTGTCTGTAGCAAGTTGAAAACATGCACTCGCAGCTGATATTGCAGTTTGATACATCTCAGTTTTCAAACTCACGAGAGCGGCTCCAATCAGCAGCTTGCAAACATTATTACAATCGCCCATCGCAGAAGTATAAATAGCTTTTGCTCTAGAAAAATCACCTTCTTTATATTCATTGTTGCCGTCTTCTCTGGAATATGGGCCAGCTACTTTCTCTTCCAAAGAGTGTTTGTTATATTTCAACAAGACCCGTTTCCAAAGACCATGCATCTTTGGGGCATTGTCCAATGTAAAACCAAGTTCATATGCTGCCTTCTTGTATCTTAAGCGACCCTTCTCGTTGTCCCGCTCCAAAAAAAGGACTGCAGCGGCATCCAAAAAAGCCAGCTCGTACTCCTTTAGCTTTAGCTCAGCCTGGCATCTGTTGTTCAAAAGCAAAAGGATTTCTGGGAATTCAGCTAGGCCAGCGATATAAATATCAAACGCTGCTAAAAAATCTCCGTTATCGGTAAAAAACTTGCCATTTTCTAAGATTTGTTCAAAGTCTGCAGTTGTTTGCTGAAGAATGCAAACCTCCTCAGGACAATCGACTCTAATTCCTTGGTTGCTGTCTGCGAACACTTTCAAATAAGGTTCAGCTATCTTAATTTTTGCATTAACGGGGAATTTCTTTTCTGCAACTTCGGTTTTGTTTCTGCAACTTGGTACCATGTTAAAAAGCCTAAGCTGGATAACATCTCCTTGAGCATCCTCTAAAATAGTTGTGATATCATGCAAGACAATTGGCCGTGTAATGATTGTACCCTCGATAAATTTCCCTTTTGATTTTTCAAAGAGTTTCAAGTCTTTTATGAAAACTCTATGCAATGTAGAAAAATCTGTGCAATTGTTGCCGGCAGGATCAGAGTATAAAAAATACAGATTCATAGGAAAAGGTAAAGAACTCCCTTCCTTTTGATTAATTGCCACACATTCTGAATGTCGAGCGAGTACAGCTTTAGGAGGCATTGCCTTCCCCCATCTGCCGAAAGCTATCGCAATTTTGTCCAAAAGAAGCATTCCCCCTAAAAGTTTCTCATTACCTAAGGTTTGGAAATAAAGGTCAATTTTCTTTTGATAATTTTGGGGTAATTCAAAACTGTTTTCAAATACCTGAAGACTACAGTAACCACTAAGTGCGTCAAGTAACCTCTTTCTTGGCTCATTATCCATAATTTCATATTGGACCACAATCTCAGGACAGCAATGGCGGTACAGGACGCTTTCCAATGCCTCGTAAATTGCCATTATTACTGAAAAATAAAATCAGTTGCTGTCACTATCTAAAAGACAAAAGCAAAAGTATATAAAAATACGGGCTTAGATCAGGGGCAGATCAAGACCAAATTTGAATAGCGGGCAGTTGATAATGGGGGCGCTGAAAAATATTCATAAGTTGGTAGTGAGGGTACGCTGTATACAACAATTTCCGGCCCTTGCTACTGACAGAAGATCATCTTTTCACGACTGAAGGTCTCTGACTAAGTTTTCTCTTCTATTTGCTACAATTGCTGGCCAGGGATGGCGCTATGGGGTGTCATGGGGAAAGGTGGGGGGGGGGCAGCTGCCACCTAGTCGACAGCCCAACATAAGTTGAAGTTCAGACTGGCTTTTTGACTTTCAGTAAAACCATTAAATTGTTCTTAACTTGTTCTTAAATCATAAGGGTGTAAGCAGTGCAATTGATAAATATTTTGCTTAAGGGGAGTGTTCAGCAGGGCCTATTTAAGTGTGGTTTTTCCCACATTTTGTGGTCTTGGAAATCCAAAATGTGGTTTTGGAAATTCGAAATTGTGGAATGGGTTTCTTCATTTTAGCTATATTTTTGTTATAAATATGTTTTTCTGTTGATAGAGTATTGAAACTTTATAACATTACAGAACAGTACAAATCATCCATGAATCGTTATGTTGATTATTTTTGTTTTACACGAATAAACAAAAACGGTTCCTACGGCAACTGTCGATATTTTGAAGTTCTTGCAATTGCTCAAAACGTTGAACAAATTTTATGTATAAATTTGTTATCTATAAACTGGAAACCCTGAGGGGCGTCCTTATCCTTAAGGCCTTAAGGTGATTTGCCACCACCCCCACCTTTCAGTGGCCCTAGGGGCAGGTTTGTAGTTTTGGTGTTTCTAAAAGCAAATCGTATAAAAACATTTAAAATCATGGTCCCATTGGTAACTTGGTAAGCTGCAAAGGGGCATTTTAGCTGAAGTTTTTAAAAGAGGGGGCACGTGCCCTGTGCCCCCTGTGCCCCCTGGTCCCCATGCCTATGAGGCAGGACAATGGAACCTTTCAACAATTAGATAAGTTGACAAATCTATTGTTAAAACACAATAGGAATTATGTTTGTCAATTCAATTCATGTATATTTTCAACAATAATTAACTAATTACAGTAATAAAATACAATTTTGACGTTTAAAAGCTACATTAGACGATCATACAAACAAGAAGAATAGCAACAAAACATCAGTTCAACAGAATATTGCTGAAGGACATATGGAAAGAGCTCTGAAAGAGCTTTCGGGCCAAATGCCCCCAGTGACGTGTATAAAATCCAGTACAATTAACATAAATACATGCAATTAATACTAAAATTTAAGAAATATTTTTATTATAAGGATAAAAACACATTCTATGATGAAAATATTGATAAAAAGTATAAATATATCAATAGACCAAAGCGATTGTACAAAAAGGGGAAAAAGAGGTTGAGGATGATCTTGGATTTTTAACTGTATATTTAGGTAACAATTGTTTAAAAAGGCGTGAAAAGATTTTTTTGGAAGCAACACTTTTTATGTTACTTCATATCTTATCCAAAATTTTTAAACCAGCATTTATTATGAATAAAGATTTGTTCTAATTTAAGAATGGAACAAGTTACCGCTAGCAGCCTGTCTGATTTTAATGTTGTGACTCTCAGTAGTTAGATGAAAGAAATCTCACATGCAGCTATCAACATTGCCTTTTGGAACTTCAAACATAATTTCAGCACATTCAATTTTGTACAGATCATCAAAATTTAGGAGGCCTAACGACTTGAAGAGAGGTTTACTATGACATGTACTATTTTTGAAAAGAATTAATCTCACTGCGTGTTTCAGCTGTTTCCTCAAGGGTCCAGAGTATTAGAGTATGCTCCCCCCACCAGTTTATCAGGCCATAAATTATGTATGGGGAGATAAAATAATTATGAATACTAAGCAATATATCCTTGGGTAGAAAATGTCTTAAATTGGCTAGAATACCAAGGCTTTTGGAAAGTTCTATGTCAACATTTGGGATATTTAGTTTCCAGGTGAGATTCTCATCTATCAGAACTCCGAGGTATTTAACATAAGCTGACTCTTTTAACTGTTCACCATTAATAGATATATTAATGGTTTTAGGTTCCTTCTTATGACGTGGATAATCAAGAAGTGAGATTTATTTGTGTTTAGGGTTAACATATTAGCAGCAAGCCATCAGCGATGTTATTTAATTCAATGCATAACGTTTCTTCTAAAGTTTTAAATTTATTATGTGAATACAACAAACTGGTATCATCTGCAAACAGATGAAAATTTAGAATTTAAGACGCTTTTGGTATGTCATTTATATATAGCAAGAAGAGCAGGGGACCCAAAACACTACCTTGAGGCACACCGCATAATTAAAATCTAAGTCTTCAGAGAGCTCATCACCTACAGAAACTCTTTGGGACCTCTCATTTAAGTAGGATTTGAACCACTCCAAGGGAACACCTCTAATGCCATAATATTCGACTTTACATAATAGTATTGCATGGTCAACTGTGTTATGTGCTTTTTTCAAAATCAAGAAATACACAGCAAGAAAATCAGCTTCTATTGCATCAATAAGCTTAGCACAAACATAAAAAATAGCCAACGATGTAGACTTTTTCTTTTGAAAACCAAATTGATGGGGATACAATATTTTATTTTTTTTCGAGAAATATAATTAGGCGATAGTACATGAGACTTTTGTTAACAGCCAATGAACAACCGAGTTGCCTACCGCCACTCAACACTACAGAAAGATGAGGGGATGCCTACACTACATATTCTGCAAGTGGGGAAACCGCAACTTCAAAGCCGATGTGACACATTATTTAGTACAATGCACAAATATTAATATGAATATATTTTATTCGAATATTAAATAGTTTATATTTAAGAAGGCACCAGGATTAAAAGTCAGGCCCATAAAAGTTAGCCATAAAAGTATATTTCTATGTTTAACAAAAGTTGCTCTAAAAGATTTCAAATTTTTATTGGCTTTTTAAACTTATAATTTTCAACAGGTCTGGTTTTCATAAGTAATTGCACGACTTAATGCGAGTTCTAGGCGTCATTTCAAAATTGTGCCAAAGATAATTTTTATTTCCTTATTCTATGGTGTTGCTTAGGCTAAATGACGTCAATCTTTTTAGAATATCAAACCGAGGGGCAAATCACTCCAAGAAAATCTCGTACACCTTTTGTGAAAACCTCGGAATAATAGCAACGATAGTTTGTTGCTTCTTGAGGTTATTGAAAGGATACTTAAAGTTTCACAAAAGCACCGCTTGTGTCTTGAAAATGGTCTACAATGCCTGCCAAAAGTACTTGGAACACCCAGAATTTACGCTGTATTTGATATCTTTCATTCCTTTCTTGAAAAAAAATTGCTACTTCCGCCCCCTTCCCCCTAAAACAATGTTGATGATTAAGAGAAATATCATAAAAGAAGCGCAAAAGAAAGTGCTTCCTAAAATCCTAACCCGTTTGATAGTAAACCAACATTGTTCTGTAGGGGAGAGGGGGATGATTGATTTTGACCTTGGAAATTGATGTCAGTGTTCCAAGACTTTTGGCAGGCATTGTACATAAGAAATTATGGAAAACAATAATCATTCTAGAGAACAGGGTGTGACCAGGAAATGTGTGTGGTCTAAAGGCTGTTGTCGATCTTCTATCTCATTTCGGTGGTAGTCAAGTTTTTTTGGCTGGATCCACCACTATAGATGTATGTTAAAGTTTTACGAAACCCTTTTCTCTTTTTAATGTTCACCAGGGTAGACATAGTACTTTGCTCTCTGGGGTATCGTCCTTAGTATAGTTGTAGAGTAATTTCCTGTATGTAAAATATTTTTGATTATATATGTATATATAAATAAAAACTGATCATACGTCGATCTTTGGAGGACCCTTTGCAAAAAATACATTTCCAGGCATGCTATGTATTCAAGTTAATTCTTCGAGACGATAACTTTGAGAAATATCGAAATTGAACTTTTACGATCGGGCAATCCATTCCTCAAAATAGGAAAGTGCCAGCAAAAAGATAAACCCAAACAATTCCTCACCTTTCAAGAAACATTAAATATGTTTTCGCTTGTCCAGTTCAGTAAATGTCCACTGCTCTTTACTTTAAACCATTTGGCAGTTGCTGCACTCTACGAATTGTATAAATAGTCTATTAAATAGTCACTTCTCGGAAAACCTTTGGTTCATGTTTGTACAGAACACAAACACAACCAACCTGCTTGGACACGACAAGGGATGGGGGACACAAGCAGTAGTTTGCAGTAGCTTGACCTATAAATCTATCACTGTATTCACGATTTTATATCTGTAATCTAATGAAATAAAACCTACTTCTTGGAAAACATTTGGACCTGTCGGTTGTCATGTGAAAGCTGCCTCAGAGTCCAGTGGGAGGCATTAAAAAGATTTATACACGGGAGGGTCCATCCAAAGCTATCAAGTGTTAGCCTCAAAATCAAATTTCACAGAACATAATAGTATATGCCAAAAAGGGATTGATTATGATATCAAATGAGTTATAATGATATAAGCTAAAAATGTCCGCCTAAAAGTATCAAAATCAAATTTCACAGACCCCAGAATTATCAGCCAAAAAGGGGTTGATAATAATATTCAATGAGTTATAATGATATAAGCTAAAAATAATCGCCTCAAAGTATCAAAATCAAGTTTCACAGACCCCAGAATTATCAGCCAAAAAGGGGTTGATAATAATATTCAATGAGTTATAATTATATAAGCTAAAAATAATCGCCTCAAAGTATCAAAATCAAATTTCACAGACCCCAGAATTATCAGCCAAAAAGGGGTTGATAATAATATTCAATGAGTTATAATGATATAAGCTAAAAATAATCGCCTCAAAGTATCAAAATCAAGTTTCACAGACCACAGAATTATCAGCCAAAAAGGGGTTGATAATAATATTCAATGAGTTATAATGATATATGCTAAAAATAATCGCCTCAAAGTATCAAAATCAAGTTTCACATACCCCAGAATTATCAGCCAAAAAGGGGTTGATAATAATATTCTATGAGTTATAATGATATAAGCTAAAAATAATCGCCTCAAAGTATCAAAATCAAGTTTCACAGACCCCAGAATTATCAGCCAGAAAGGGGTTGATAATAATATTCAATGAGTTATAATGATATAAGCTAAAAATAATTGCCGCAAAGTATCAAAATCAAGTTTCACAGACCACAGAATTATCAGCCAAAAAGGGCTTCATAATAATATTCAATGACTTATAATGATATAAGCTAAAAATAATCACCTCAAAGTATCAAAATCAAGTTTCACATACCACAGAATTATCAGCCAAAAAGGGGTTGATAATAATATTCAATGAGTTATAATGATATAAGCTAAAAATAATCGCCTCAAAGTATCGAAATCAAGTTTCACATGCCCCAGAACTATCAGCCAAAAAGGGGTTGATAATAATATTCAATGAGTTATAATGGTATAAGCTAAAAATAATTGCCGCAAAGTATCAAAATCAAGTTTCACAGACCACAAAATTATCAGCCAAAAAGGGCTTCATAATAATATTCAATGACTTATAATGATATAAGCTAAAAATAATCACCTAAAAGTATCAAAATCACGTTTCACATACCACAGAATTATCAGCCAAAAAGGGGTTGATAATAATATTCAATGAGTTATAATGATATAAGCTAAAAATAATCGCCTCAAAGTATCGAAATCAAGTTTCACATGCCCCAGAACTATCAGCCAAAAAGGGGTTGATAATAATATTCAATGAGTTATAATGATATAAGCTAAAAATAATCGCCTCAAAGTATCAAAATCAAGTTTCACAGACCACAGAATTATCAGCCAGAAAGGGGTTGATAATAATATTCAATGAGTTATAATGATATAAGCTAAAAATAATCGCCTCAAAGTATCAAAAGAATATTCCACAGACCCCAGAATTATCAGCCAAAAAGGGGTTGATCATAATATTCAATGACTTATAATGATATAAGCTAAAAATAATTGCCGGAAAGACTCGAAATCAAGTTTCACAGACCCCAGAATTATCAGCCAAAAAGGGGTTGATAATAAATCTGGTACACCTTTTGTGAAAATCCTATTGTCTTATCTGAAAATCCACAGAAATCCTTTTGTTTAGGGAAAATCTCGTACGCTATTTGCAAGTGTGAACTGCCCCTCGTATCCAGCCTCAGAATAATAGCAACAATAATTTGTTGATTCTCGAGGTTATTGCAAGGATACGTAAAGTTTCATAAAAGCACCGCTTCTGTCTTGAAAATAGTCTACATAAGAAAATTATAGAAAACAAAAACCATTTTAGAGAACAGGGTGTGACCAGGAAATGGGTGTGGTCTAAAGGCTGTTGTTGATCTTCTAACTCATTTCGGTTCAGTCAGATTTTTGGCTTGATCCACCACTGTAGATGTATGTTAAAGTGTTTCGAAACTTTTTTCTCTTTTTAATGTTTAATGGCCCCAGGGTAGACATAGTACTTTGCTCTCCGGGGTATCGTACTTAGTATAGTTGTAGAGTAATTTCCTGTATGTAAAATATTTTGGATCATATATGTATAAGCGCCTCAAAGTAATTCTTCGAGACGATAACTTTGAGAAATATCGAAATTGAACTTTTATGATCGGGCAATCCATTCCTCAAAATAGGAAAGTGCCAGCAAAAAGATAAACCCAAACAATTCCTCACCTTTCAAGAAACATTAAATATGTTTTCGCTTGTCCAGTTCAGTAAATGTCCACTGCTCTTTACTTTAAACCATTTGGCAGTTGCTGCACTCTACGAATTATATAAATAGTCTATTAAATAGTCACTTCTCGGAAAACCTTTGGTTCATGTTTGTACAGAACACAAACACAACCAACCTGCTTGGACACGACAAGGGATGGGGGACACAAGCAGTAGTTTGCAGTAGCTTGACCTATAAATCTATCACTGTATTCACGATTTTATATCTGTAATCTAATGAAATAAAACCTACTTCTTGGAAAACATTTGGACCTGTCGGTTGTCATGTGAAAGCTGCCTCAGAGTCCAGTGGGAGGCATTAAAAAGATTTATACACGGGAGGGTCCATCCAAAGCTATCAAGTGTTAGCCTCAAAATCAAATTTCACAGAACATAATAGTATATGCCAAAAAGGGATTGATTATGATATCAAATGAGTTATAATGATATAAGCTAAAAATGTCCGCCTAAAAGTATCAAAATCAAATTTCTCAGACCAAAATATTATCAGCCAAAAAGGGGTTGATAGTAATATTCAATGAGTTTTAATGGTATAAGCTAAAAATGATCGCCTCAAAGTATCAAAATCAAGTTTCACAGACCCCAGAATTATCAGCCAAAAAGGGGTTGATAATAATATTCAATGAGTTATAATTATATAAGCTAAAAATAATCGCCTCAAAGTATCAAAATCAAATTTCACAGACCCCAGAATTATCAGCCAAAAAGGGGTTGATAATAATATTCAATGAGTTATAATGATATATGCTAAAAATAATCGCCTCAAAGTATCAAAATCAAGTTTCACATACCCCAGAATTATTAGCCAAAAAGGGGTTGATAATAATATTCTATGAGTTATAATGATATAAGCTAAAAATAATCGCCTCAAAGTATCAAAATCAAGTTTCACAGACCCCAGAATTATCAGCCAAAAAGGGGTTGATAATAATATTCAATGAGTTATAATGATATAAGCTAAAAATTAATTGCTTCAAAGTATCAAAATCAAGTTTCACAGACCCCAGAATTATCAGCCAGAAAGGGGTTGATAATAATATTCAATGAGTTATAATGATATAAGCTAAAAATAATTGCCGCAAAGTATCAAAATCAAGTTTCACAGACCACAGAATTATCAGCCAAAAAGGGCTTCATAATAATATTCAATGACTTATAATGATATAAGCTAAAAATAATCACCTCAAAGTATCAAAATCAAGTTTCACATACCACAGAATTATCAGCCAAAAAGGGGTTGATAATAATATTCGATGAGTTATAATGATATAAGCTAAAAATAATCGCCTCAAAGTATCAAAATCAAGTTTCACATACCCCAGAATTATTAGCCAAAAAGGGGTTGATAATAATATTCAATGAGTTATAATGGTATAAGCTAAAAATAATCGCCTCAAAGTATCAAAATCAAGTTTCACATGCCCCAGAACTATCAGCCAAAAAGGGGTTGATAATAATATTCAATGAGTTATAATGGTATAAGCTAAAAATAATCGCCTCAAAGTATCAAAATCAAGTTTCACATGCCCCAGAACTATCAGCCAAAAAGGGGTTGATAATAATATTCAATGAGTTATAATGATATAAGCTAAAAATAATCGCCTCAAAGTATCAAAATCAAGTTTCACATGCCCCAGAACTATCAGCCAAAAAGGGGTTGATAATAATATTCAATGAGTTATAATGATATAAGCTAAAAATAATTGCCTCAAAGTATCAAAATCAAGTTTCACAGACCCCAGAATTATCAGCCAAAAAGGGGTTGATCATAATATTCAATGAGTTATAATGATATAAGTTAAAAATATTTGCCTCAAAGTATCAAAATCAAGTTTCACAGACCCCAGAATTATCAGCCAAAAAGGGATTGATTATGATATCAAATGAGTTATAATGATATAAGCTAAAAATGTCCGCCTAAAAGTATCAAAATCAAATTTCTCAGACCAAAATATTATCAGCCAAAAAGGGGTTGATAGTAATATTCAATGAGTTTTAATGGTATAAGCTAAAAATGATCGCCTCAAAGTATCAAAATCAAGTTTCACATACCCCAGAATTATCAGCCAAAAAGGGGTTGATAATAATATTCAATGATTTATAATGATATAAGCTAAAAATAATCGCCTCAAAGTATCAAAATCAAATTTCACAGATCAAAATATTATCAGCCAAAAAGGGGGTTGATAGTAATATTCAATGAGTTATACTGACGTAAGCTTAAGTATTTGGAAGCTAAAATTTCAAAACAGGGGCGAAAATTCCGGGAGTTGTAGGGGGTTTCATAGTCCCCATCTCACAGTTTTCACAGGGCAATCGAAGACTTCGCAGGGCATGAAACTGACGTTAGTGTTTGGCAGTGACTGTATGGCAAGAAGAGCTCAGTTATTAGCAAAACGGAAAATTTCTTAACGAACTATCATAGCCAATGGATGCAATGATTATTGATGCATATATTTATGAGTGCAAGGTTGAACACTTGGTGGAAGATTTAGTTGAGTCGGCTGTCCATAAAATGAGTCTACACAAAGCAAATTAAGATGTAAATTTTCTTCATGCAGGAACGGCGCAACTGGCTGACCTCTACCCTACCACTTTTTTCAAGATATGAATTTTTTACCGTTCTTTTCCATAACTATTCAAACAGTATATGAAATAAAAAGAGAACAAACTGTTTATATACTGATTGATTTTGTTTGATCTAGTTACTAACTTATTCGCGTAAAATTCTACTATTTGTCTACTATTTGCATCAATTCAGCAAATCATTTTCTGTATTTTTGCAGTAAATTCATTTTGGATGTGTAAACATAGCCTTCTCGAGACAAGAAAGATGCACATTTTAATTTAGGAAATAAAATTCTCCCAATCAATACAGCAGCTTCCCCATATTGATGTGCAACCTAAAATGGAAGGTCGTCCTTTCTTTCTTTCCCCAACGTCTGTCACTAGAATTTTATTAAGACACCTCTCCTCCCCAATATCCGTCAATGAGAAATAATGAGTGTTTTTCTGAGAACGAATTGTTGGATTGTTTTTCCTAAGCGGTAACGTATTTTGTTGAATTTTAGTATGGGAAATGCTTTTTTAGCCCTTCTACAAGGTATAATTTCAAAAAATTTCTTTCGCATCGGACCCAACCATTGTGGCTCCGCCTACGTCACAAAACTCGCTTCTTAGCCCCCTCCCCCAGGTTCAATTCCATGACGCTGTCCCTGACATGCAACTGACACACATATTTGCCGTGAAGATGTAAGCTTTATTGCAAAGCAAAATTTCTAACCTTTTGATATCACGTCATTTGAACCTTAGTAACTTGCTACGTCAGTGCATATGAAAGCTTTGCAATCATTTCACTTGAAATGCGTGTGTTTTCCAAATTTCATAACCATATAATAGAGTTGACAAATACAGGCATTATAAACGGCCATTTTATTTCCTACCTCTAATTTCCTATTAATTCCAAAACCTCTTGTGCAGCTTACAATCATCGCAACTGCTTTACTGATTCTATTTCAGACACATCTCTGTTCAGATTTAATTCCTTGTTTGTCGTTGACCCAAAGTAGCAAAGGTTGTCAACATTTTTCAAGCGCTCTTCCTTTAGCATGATGTTTGGTTGAATTGATAGTTCGCGGCACATGGTCACTGTTTTGGGTGTACTGAATTTCAAAGCGAAAGTAGCACATGCCCTTGATATGTTTTTAACAAATTAAGATCAACTTCACTAGAGCTCTCAATGCAGCGTCATCTGCATGCAAATGCTTCTCACGTTAAACAAGCTTCCATTGAATCTATTATGCAGATAGACCCTTCTTTGGTTATGGTCAAATGCGTACTTGAGCAGATAAGAGAAGTAGATGTTAAATAGCATAGATGCTAGTACGCAACCTTGCGTGTGACTCTGTTATCTACGACAAACTGGGCTGACTTAGTGCCTTGCTTTCACTAGAACTAAAGTTGAAATAAACTTGCTTTCAATCTGTCGTGAAATGATTATACTAAATTTAAAAGCTTCACTGGACACCCAAGTTTACTCAAAATGATATAAAACCTTCTCTGCTGACTTTGCCTAAAATCTTTGTCACGTCAATAAATGCTACATCGTGAAGATTCAGAAATGAATATATGAAGTGCGAATGTTACTCAGCTTCTATGTTGTGACAGAGCTTGATAGACTGCCGACATTTGATGAAGTGGAAGAAGCTATAAAACAAATGCCAAGTGAAAAGTCATCAGGGAATGATACCGTTCTTGCTGAAGTTTTCAAACGTCTAGATGATCCATCATTATCAAAGCTGATATTGGAATGAGGAAAGGTGCCTGAAGCTTTAAAAGATGCCAGATTTACTTAGAAATATGAAAAAAAGAAGATTGGAGTGACTGCATAATCACCGGGTCACATGTCTTAAGTACAATCATTTGTCGATTATTTTACTAAAACTTCAAGTCCGCGGTCAAAGAATATACCCAGAAAGTCAATGTGGTTACAGACCTGGCCTTTCAACAGATATCATATTCTCTGTTAGACAGATTCAAGGCAAATGTAAAGCAAGAACGTTCCTTTTTACCTCAGTGAGACTCACAACCCCAGGGTAAAGCTTTCTCAAAAGGAATTTTCCCAATAAACTACCCCATTTGAAATCATAAGCTTACAATGCGTTTCATGCGCCCAGTTATTGCAAATGAGGCAACAGTATGGGATCCATATACAAAGAAGTTCATATACAGAATTCTATAGAGATATACGCAGGAAACTCTTGCAGAGCTCTCGAAATGCAGAATCACGGCACTAAAAAAGCTACAGAAGTTGCAAAATTGCGCGGCCAGAATAGTTATCAATAGCCCGTACAACGCTTCTGCTCTTCCAATTATAAGGAAACTGAACTGGCAAACAGTGAATGACTTGATAGTAGAAGAAACTTTGAAAAAGGTTTGCAAGTGTATGAGGCTCCCTCGTATCTTGCGTGCCGGCTCGACAGGTTATCAGAAACCAATACCCGGGAACTTCGAAACACCGAAACCGATCTTCGTGTCCCGTTTCTACGAACAGCATCTGGCCAAAAATGATTTCTTTAAGAGGGGCGAAACTATGGAATGGCCTGGACGCAAAATCTAAATTAACAAAAAATTTCAAACAAGTAAAATGTTATCTCAAAAACCCCAGAACATAAAAGGACCCTTTTTATTCCTGGCGTTAGTCCCAGTATTTTAAATGCTTTTACTTGGTTATTCTAATTTGTATATTTGTATTTTCAAATTTTAGCGTTTATCTTTTTATTTGTACAGGCCTGCTTGGAAAGTAATTTATGTATGTAGTTGATAGCTTTATCCTGTGTAAATAATTAAAAATGAATGAATGAAAAATTGAAGAGTTTGCACTGGCGCTGGCTATTTTCTGCGTCTCCGGGAAAGGCCTGATCTAGGATTAGTATAATGGAAAAGAATGGATGCCACTGCAAAATTTGTTGTACTTCAATAGTCATTGATTTACCAGAAAAACTGGTCCATGACATGATATCAGTAAATTTCTACCCTTTTTTGTGGTTCCTCTGACTGAGTTAAAAAACAACCCTTTTTTAAGATTCTATGTCCTAGGATTATAGCTTTCAAACTACCCTTTCTCAGTGTTTTGGAACTGACATGATATGATATCTTTTTGCCAAACTGATTGAGCCCGCCGGGCAATAGAGTACCAAAGTGTGACGTCATCAAAAATCTATTTTGAGATTAGTTATTGCTTTCATATTTTTACAACTCTCAATATGCAAAATTAGTTATATATGTTCCAAAGTGGGCGAGATAAGGCCAATGAAAGATTTCAAGTTTGCTAAGGGATTACTGTTATTCTGGTCGGGTTCATAAAGTTATGAACCAAGATCAAATTACAGAGGTTTGATGGGGCAAGAGCCTGTGCTCAAGTGGCCATATATCAACCAATTCGTAATGCCTTTAACTGATTTTGCATATTTAGAGGTGTTTTCTGATGATCTTTCAGATTCTGGGATCAAAATTCAGAAATTCTAAAAATAGACTTTTATGACGTCACTGATGGAGTCAACCAAGTGGTCCTGCGGAGGAGGTTTTACTTGGTGGCGTCGTTTCCTGCGAGGGCGTTGAAGGATTGTTCTTTCTCTCATCACTTGGCTTGCTTGGTGTCCTGAGGTTCGAGTAGCTGCAAAATCATTAAATTTTTACTGCAAAATGGGTGTCGATGTTGAAGTTGTTAAACCTGGAGATGGTAAGTGAATATTGCAAGATGATTTGTAGCTGTTTGTCGTTATTACGAATCCGAGTGCCTTTAGATGGCGTGAATTTATGACTTTGAGGCGGTAACAAGGCATTGTTTGTTGGCGAAGTTCCCCAAGCCATAGCATTGCTTTTGGTCAAAACCAAGGCATGTTGTGAGTTGGAAGGCATATTTGAGATAAAAAGCTTTGTTGATAATTTGAATATGCATAGAAACCTACAAAATCAAGTGCCAGCTTTGCACGGTTTAAGGCCTGCATGATATTATGTGAAAAGAAGCTATGTGGTTGGTTCTTTTATTTGAAGAACATCAGTCAAGCCTACGAAGGCCTATAAGAGCGTTAAATTTCTGGCGGTCCCACTTCAACGGATATGTGAAGTTTAGAATGTATGAAAGAATATTTCATGAAATAATGTTCAAACAGCTGATCATTTCTCCTCAAACTGTTGGAAGATGTGACAAAAACGTCTGCCTCTCCCTTACCCCGAAATAAAATAAAATTTTCTCCCACAAATAAAATTTTCAGCTAGTTTTGTCGCACAAGGAAGTTGCTGAACAGGTCTGGCAACAATATTTCTCCAAAGAAAAAATGTCTACAGGGAACCTTTTAAAGGAAAAAACTTCACATTTCAGTACCAACCTTCACAGGCAGGGGCATTTATTTATTTAACACTTGAACAAACAAAACCTCATCCATATTCTTTGTTGCATGGGCTGTGATAGACTGTGAAGGTAAACACAAGTTACAAATAATAAGGATGTTTAGGTAAAAAAATTGACTATGGTATCAAAGTCAAAGTTTAATTTTTTTCACATTTTACCCATTATACAAATAGGAATTTTAGTCTGAAAGCTGACAGAGTGTTCCCTGTTTATGTAAGAAAATGTACAAAATGGTAAAGCAATAAAGAGAACTACAGTGACAAAACAAAGAAGATAAGAGTTTTAGTCGACCAAAAATTATTGCCTGTACATCATCAGCCCATACATCACTATTTAAAATTGACAAATTTTATCTAGGATGTATATTTTGATACAACAAGCTTTGTACTTGATTGTTGATTTTTTTGATGAAGAAAACCATTTAGAGACATGTAGAATCGGAGTGGTCATATTTCAAAATCCTCTCTAATAAATTACCATTCTCATGTATCACCCCAATTCTTGAAAAGCTAAACCAGGGACGCCAGATTGGTCATTTTCAGGCCAAATTTTCCAATTCCTTAGAAAATTTGCTTTTCCCAGCTACTTAGATTAGGCTTTTCTGGCCTTTTTAAAGGCAGTCTGTCCCCTATTGTGTTCAACTTTTTTCTCATGGGAGTGAAATTCACGCACCGTTGAGCTTGATCAAGTATTAAATGATTTAAACCAATCAGAGACAACTTTGATTCCAGAGCTTTTGAATCAAATGGCCGTTGTAGTGAAGCTGTGGCTAGAAAAATATGGCTCCCTGTTTGGTTTCTGCGACAAATATGTCAACAGCAAAAGGAAATGCTTCCATTATCATCATTCAATTCCAGTAATTAAATCTTCTTGTACCTGGTAGCTTTTAGCTCGCAGTTTCCAATGTTGTCCATTACCGCAGCTAGGCCAGGATCCACTATCCAATAAGGCGGGAAGACCTATTGTTCATATTAGCCAATCATTGAGGGGACAGACTGCCTTTAAGCAGAAATTTTAAGGGCATTCCTTTTCTTCAAATAAACTTTCACACCCTAAGTATATAACAATAAATTTTCAATGGAATGAGCAGTTCTACTCAGTTTAAACCCAAATGTCAAATATTATCACTTATTCTAATGATTTTTGGATTTTTGGAGGCAAAATTTTGTAGTTTCCTGTTAGAGTTTGGATAATTATTTAAAAGGCTTTTGTGCGGAGATGTATACTTTTCACATGCAGTGTTCTTTACAGAAATATTTGGTCTGTTTAATGCTCATTTTGGCATGGGTTGGTCACCTGTCTGGCCTTCTTTTGGAAATACCATTTTGAAACCCAGAGCTAAACATCTTTCAGATATCCAAAAAGAGGGGATATGATGCCCTCTCAAAACCTTTGCTGTATGTTATGTTTCTAACTGTTTATTTAATGTGCATAAAAGCAGGCCTGGCCATAAGAATTTTAATAAGGAGGCAGTAAACAGCTTCCCTAGTAATTTCCAGGTGAGGTATTTATAGGTAAATTAGAATAGAAACAAAGAAAAAATAGATTTCAAGGAGAGGAATTTGCTTTTAGAGCAATTTAGTAGAGCAATCCTGCTCCCCTTTAGCATTTGCGCAGAATCTGGAGGGGAGCAAGAGCTACGGCTCTCCTCGAATGGCCAGGCCTACACAGAAGCTTATCTTGAGAGACAGTCTGCCTAGGAAGGTTTCTTGCTATTCAAGGTTGTTTGATTGTAAGTGGACAACTGTGACTGTTCCTCCTTTGAGATATTCTTAGTGGATTCATGCAAAATATGCTTATTTTTCATAATAAAATCATATTTTTATTATACCTTTGATTTATATATAATGTGTAATGTGATTGTAGTAGTGGAGTTGTAAAATTAAACACAAAATAGACTGATTTGCATTGAACTGAAATGACTGTTTTTTTTAAAAATAAGATGGCAGTAAGGTATAAGGTACATAACATGCCAGACTAAGGCATTTGTCATGCATTTTATGTACATGTACCCACACAATTAGGAAGTGCTGGACACAGTTATACATGAAGTTCTTATCATAAGAACTAACAGTTATCAGAATGTGACAGTAGTTCTATGTATATTGAAATGTGGATCACACGAGCACAAATTTAGATTATTGGTTAACTGGGATAGGTGACAGAGAGAGAGAGTTTTTCAAAAATACTTATCATTTACTCTCTAGTTACACATATACACCCTTGATGAATGTGTTTATTTTTATAATCTTCACATATTAAACTTATTGAAAGACATTGGCTTGACATATGTATCTTAATTGTAATTATTGGATTCTTCCAAAACTCCCAAAAACTTTTTGTTATCACAAGAGATTCTTCAGAAAGTGTCACAGTAGTAGTGTCTACTTTGATGTGTTTTCAGATTAAGAAAAAGCATTTGATATCAAATTTTGTTTTGTGATAAATTGAATAATATTTACTGAACAAAATCATAAAAGAAGGAGACTCCTGATAAACAAAATATTTTTAAACTGTTTCCAAAATGCAGAGCAGAGCCAAGAAACTTGTGAATATGTTGTGCTACATTTTGTAAGAACAAATTTATACGAATTCTAGCCTGAAAATTGGCCAAATATTAAGCGAAATTATTGAGTAAACCGAGTTTGAGTTGCTCTTAAAGAGGATATGACACGAAAATGCAAAATTCTATTATAGATCAAATCCTTGATGCTGATTTCAAAAATTAAATCGAAAAATGCTAATTCGTTATAGATTTTCTGAAATTAAGGGATTTAGCCATGAAATTTTGTGAAATTCATGTCCCAGAGGACTGGGTCGGGTTTTGAGGACGTACGCCCGGACGTGACGTCAGGTGTTGGACATATTCTCGAGGGTAAAGGTTTGAAAGCAAGTACGGTGTATCGATTAACGTGAAGGCACAATTTATAATTATGTCTACAAGCGAATCAGGCTCTTCTATGACATCGAATCATTCTGCAAGTGATGAAGAACTATATGGAGCTTATGGCGGAGATTATCTGCCCTACTTAAACGAGCCTTTGGCTAGTACGGACGACGAAGGCGATGATGGGCCTAGGCCTAATGACGGAGAACAACCGGAGGATGAAGATGGGATATCTCCGGAAACTTTTCGCGAAAGACAGACGGGGAACCTAACTGTAGATCAATGGTGAGTGGTTTTTGTTTTCGCTGTTTTTTAAATAGTTCAAATTATCCAACCTTTCATGTCGGTACAACGATACAACTGCAGCTCTTTTTTAGGTGTGTGTGTGCGGCAAATGCTCAGCAGCGAACTTGGAAAGTGCCAGAGAGTACCGTTGCTGCCATGAAGTGGCACCTGCTTATGGAAAAGTCGTTTTTAACGGCCAATCCGATGAAATAAAGTGTGTGACCCTTCATGAAGACTACAGGGCTTTTACAAATATAAATGTCCTTAGAAACGTTGGTCCATTGCTTCGGAAAAAGGATGGAAAGCCCTACAAGAAAAGGGCAAATGTAACAGAAAATGAGTATGTACAAAGTTTTATTGTCAAGTTTAGGCTGAAATAGATAGACATCAAATTTGATTCTTTTTGTTGATTCATAATTGATCTCTTTTAGTGAAAGAAGTATGTGTACATATATAATATAGTATATACTAGTATGCTAATTTATACTAATAATCTAACATTTTATACTGATACTACATATATTGCATAAATATATATATATAATAACTAAACTTTTGTTTCACAAAAAGCAGAAGCGTTATAAAGAAAAATGTTTTAGAAAGACCATGGCAAAAGACAATTTATTATTTTTCTGGAACGCGTTTCGTCCTTTTAACGAGGAATCATCAGCCTATTTAAATATCTATGTGAGTTCTATGTTAATTTACTGTAGACATCTCTAATTTGAAGTTCATTTACTGAATATATATATATATATCTAAATATCTGAATATATATATACATATCTAAATATAGTATATAAATTTATATATGATATTTATATATACACATATATATATTATATATTGGTATTTTTTTTCTGTATCAGGTATCTTCGTGCAGTTTCTTATCGCTGGTTAGCACGCTGGATATTTGGATACATGGGATGGGACAATACACGGCCTCTGCCTGCATGCATTTATCATAACGTCCGTGAAAAGTTTATGTCTAACCAGAAGATTGGATATAAAAATGCAGAAGAACGTAACTAATAACATAGATTATCTTTATACAATTAGCTTTTGTTATATTTAATTTCATGCAAGTGTATATAATTCTTTAAGTCATTCTTTGCATAAAGTCTTAGCATGTCCTTTCATCAATTGGCCACATTTTTTGCATGAAGGGGCCTTTCTTTTTGGCAAACGATCAGCTCTGTTGCATGCTTGCTCAGCTACCAAATCTTCTTGGAGTTTGTATTGATCATTTTCTGGTAAGATAAACATTGATTAATAAATTTAGAATAAAAAATGGCAAAATTTTTCATCATACAGTTTTAATGATTAATCAACAAAACTTTAAATGAAAAGGCAAATAAAACATTATTTTCTGGCCAATTAAGTATATTACCTGAAGGGTATAATGGTTGAAATAGTGTTCTCCTTTTTTTATATTCTTTTACAGCCTCTTTCTTACTTTTTGTTCTTTCAAATCTGCTCACCAAGGATGCAGGCATCTTATCAGCATACTTTTTCCAAATCTGGCCAAGTTCTTCTTCGTTTGATTTAAATAAAAGTTCTTTTGTATGCTCAACGTAATCTGTAATAATTTTTTTGAAAATATAAAAGCAATTATTTTGAATATTAAACATAATCTGAAATAATTTCTGTAAAAATGTATAAAACTAATATTTTATCTAATATATTCAAACTAATATCAGTTCTTGAAAAATACAATAGCATTTCTCATCTCCCATTTCTCAGGGCAAAATATGAATTGATTTTCTTTATATGGCAAGATTATGTAGATTATATGTTGTATGCTGTCTACTCACTGTAAGATGGAGGGACTGGAACAGGTTTTACTGCTTCTTCGCCAAGTTTATATTTAGGATAAGAAACTTTGAAATATTCCTTTCCATTTTTGTCTTTTTGTGCTTCCCTGTGCAGGTTTTCGTTGAAATGTGAAACTGCCATTATATGCCTTGGAAAAAATATAACAGTTCTTTGTTGGGTATTTGGATACATTTTCTGTTTGACTCACAAATGAAGTTTAGTTTTATTTTGTTGATACTGATACAAATAAAAATTATACATTTATGTAAAGTAGGCTGTGTTTTTGCTAGGAATGGCATTCAAATACTGTTGCACACGTTGGCACTTTCTTAAACTCTCTAGAAGTACAATTTACAGGAAGCAACAATATCCAAAATTTAAATTTCAGTTATTTACTCAGTGTTGACAAATTTTCTCAGCAATTAATTTTCTTCAAAGATAGCTTGGCAGGTAGTAAAGATAGTATAGTGAAAAACAATACAATGCACAATGCTCAGTAATTTTTAATTAATGATTGGTATCTCTAGTCATAAGTACCTGCACAGAGAGCCAATCCAGGAGTAATGTGTCATCTTTGGGTGCCATTGGTTCAGTGTAGAGTGGTATCCCTCGAGACAGCTGGTTTGTGCATTTGATGACAATTTCGCAATGTCTTGTAGAAGGCTTTGATTCATTAGAATTGGCTGAATCTTGTCATATGCAGTAGTTCCTGTTGAATTACATATATTTAATACTATTATTTTATGTTAGCTGTTAAGGAGAAGTATATGGGAAGTTTAACAATCAGCACAATTGTTTATTTTCTTACGTTTCAAAATTGAAGCAAGACCATTTAGGGAACTTTAAATGGTGTTTGCCTCTCTTTAAAAAAACCATTAAATTATGAAAGGGGCTACATTTTGTATAAAATGCAGTGATTTGACAAAATGATACAAACCATTGAGAATCCATCTACGTTTATGATCTAGTTCTCCGTGTGCACACCTCTGAAACAGTTTGTCTTCGTGGTTGTTGTGCTTGTTCTGGATGTGATTTGAGAAAGCCTTCCATTTTGCGACAATGAGTTTCCCAAAACCTTCCTTTGTCGATGTTGCACACCAGTAGAGGTGGTTGCGGATTGTTGAACACCATGTACCCAATATCTCACAATTTCTCTCCTTGCTAGCTATTGTTACCTTCTTGGTTAAGGTGCGTGCAACATGCCAAATATCATAATAATGATGGACATGTGGTAAAGACTCCCTTATCCATTTGGCCACTCCTCTGTGTCTGTCTGATATAAAATTGGAGACCTCTATCCCGGCATCATTTAGGTATCCGAAACATCGCTTAGCACCAAGCAACTCCATATTGGAACTACCTTTGCATTCATTTGACTATACAGGAAATAAAATAAAGAGGGTGAAAATGTACATTAGGTTAATTCAAAGTTGAAATTGATGTCAGGTTATTAAACACACAAATATGAAGATACAAGTTTATGGTTGATGACTTATAACAACAGTATTTAATTTTGTCTACAAATAGACACATTTGAAGTCCAATCCAGTGCTTTCTCTTGGTTTTATAAGGTTCAAGACTTGATATTTGACCTTATTAATGATTTTTTAATGCTAGATATTTGATTCCATTTGAAAACAATCTTATTAATTAACTTACTTTAAAAATTAAGATCTATCTGTTTGGCTTTTTTCATGTGGCATGTACCGAATTATTCAAAATAAAGAAAGGAAATTGTTAAGTTTGGGCTTTCTGTAACAAGTCACTAACAAATAAATTAGATTGATAGAAAAAATGGTTTATGATTTTTCCATTACCTGAACCAATTCAAAGTGTATGATTTTTTTTATATTGTCACAATACATCGTGTAAGTGCCATATTTTGCTGAATGCCCCATCGAATCGAATCGACCATCGCCACATAGGACAATGTCTTTAACACCATGAAGCTCAGTCAGCAATGATGCTCTATATAGCTCCCAGTGACGGAGAATTGCAGGGAAAACAAACTTTTTTTGATGACGGAAAAAAGTATGTGCACTGTAAGTGGCAAGGCCGAAGTGTCTGAAAATTAATAGCAGTTTGCTGATTGATGCTCCAGCTGTAAGAGTGCCGAGACTAAGCAAGATGTTACCAGCTGGATAACGACCAAGAACGTATGGTTGTGACCTCCATTTCCAACAGTCTTTCCCACATTCGATGCAACTCTGATAAACAGTTACCATTGTCCCATTCTGCTCCATTCTGACTCCTGGCTTAGTTTTTTTACACTTGAAACAGAGGATTGAAAAGACTTGTAGTAGCATTGTATAAAATACAATAAACTTGGGTTCTTTTTCTGGAGTTGCATTTTGGTCAATTCTGCGATAAAGATACAAAAAAGATATATATTAATGCATTTCCCTGACATTCCCTACATCACATAAAAATGATAATTTTGTCAAAATATTATACAACATATGGAAGGGAAAATAGGACTTTTTGTTATTTGTTGCTTGGCTAATGAAAAATTGGCTCAGCAGAATATGAAGCATTACCTCACTTGTTGCCTCTTTTTATGTGTATCATCATAATCATAATCATCAAAATCAGTCCCATCACTATCTGACATGTCACTAGGAGAACTGTCTGCTTCATCAACTTTCCATTCGCTGTCCTCGTCTTCTGATAAATTTTCATTTGACTCTTCAGCATGAAGTATATCCTCAACAGGAATAGGGTTACCGCTATCTTCCTAGAAAATAACAGATTAATAGATACGACTTATTGTACTAGCATTTCCAAGCCTTCTCAGTGGGATGTGTGTACAGAACCCCCTTCTCTTGGGCATATATCCAGAAAAGGCTCATTGTCCTTGGCTTCAAATTTCTAACTATCACGTTTTTCTAGATGACAGGGTGAAAGCCCACTGACTTTTTGCATATATAGTTTTAACAAATTTACTTTGTGAAAACAGAAATTTAAAAGCTCCTGGAACAGTCTAAAGTCGAGAAATGATGCAGATTTATCTTTAGCTTTACTTACATTCTTTTCGCTGCCTTCCCGTAGTGTCCTTATAACATGTTTTAGCCTGTTGTTCTGACGTCTTAGGTTCTGAATTTTTTTCCGTGTTTCAGTGCATTTCTTGCACATCATTGCCACCTGTATTGCCGTATGTGTTCTAATATTTCCTTGAACCTCTTCTCGTTGAGGGGTTATGCATGTGGGGCATGTGTGTACGGGGGCACCTGTCAGATGAACTTGGCACTGCAATGGAACAACGTCTACATGTTCTTCAGAATCGTTGTGCTGTTCCCCGATGGTGAACGCATTTTCGCCTACCTCAACCTCTTCTATCTCTTCATCGAACTGTCCTGAAGCACATTCATTTTTGTTAGCGTGTTCGTGCTGTTTGATTCCTCTTAACAACTAAAATTGAGTAAATGGTAAATTTTAAGAAACTAATATATAGTTTGTTAAAAAACTTTATTGAAAAAATTACGAAAACCTTGAATCTGAGAATGATGAGAGTCATTTTCATAGAGACTGTACATAGATAAAGCTCAAAGGTATAATTTATACTCACAGTTCTTCTGTTTCTTGCCACCTTTGAAGACGATTCACTAAATGCCTGGCTTCGTCCTCGTGTGTCGAATACAGTTGGAATACCATCCTTTTTTAAAGTCCTCTTCGTTTTGGAACTGTCAAAACCAGGAAGCTCTAAAGCAAACGGTTTTTCATAGCAAGAGCGCTCAAAATGATCTGAGCACAGGTAAGGGCCGATCGAGTAGGCTTGGTGATTGAAATTGGCACGATGTCTTCTGACGAAACGAATCCATTGCCTTCGCAAATCGAGGTTTTTACTTGGAAAACGGTGCATACTAATACCTGGCGTCAAACTACTGTTTGTACAGCTCTCCCCATTTGGTAATCCGGCAACGCAATATTGCCCCCCACGTTTCACTTTTTTGTTTGTCGGCCTTGTAGATTCTTGCATACTTATTGATTTGAATTCGAAATCTTGTTTCAAATCTCGTTGTTTTGAGCTGATGTTCTGAACTGAAAACTGCCTGAAAGCATCTTACGCCCCTATTTTATACTTTTGTGAACTCAAAAGGTTTTTTCAATTATTAAAAAGTCGGA